AGAAAAAGATAGAGGTAAAGAAAATCAGACCAGATAGAGTTGAAAGTAACAGTTGATTGATTAGAAGTCACAGCAGCAAAGGTAGCAGAAGAATTAATAGAGTGTGAAGCACGAAGGGAAATATCAATACTGGATGTAACAAGAGCAGTAGTTGGGTGCGATGGTAACACTTTATTTAATCCTATAGCGGCTGAACGCGTTAAAAGATTGGTACGACTCTCCATGTATAAATATAACTTCGAATGATTTATTAAAAGAGTTCAACTATATAAAAAGGAGCTAAACTAGATTGTTATATAGATCTCATTTGAGGCACTAACGTGAGTCAATACTTCCTTTGATGACTGCATTAGGAATAAACAATGGAAGAATACTTTACCGAATGATTCATGATTGTACCATTGGATGCCCAAATGGGATGTAGACAATGGAGTATTTGGTATAGTAATACAAAATGAAAAACAAAAGTGAATGTATTATAATAGTACTTGTAATTTGAAAGTTAAGAAATTATGTTAAAGCTAGTTTGTGTAGTAAATTAGATGTCTGTATGCCTACAATAAGTGTACTCAATGAAAAAATTGGATTAATGTTTTATTGAATATAAGGCTAGAAGTCTTGATTTAAAAACTTACGTCTCAGCTGCTTGATCAACAAAGATGCTGCATGGGACGTATAATATTACTTTAATATTTGATATATATTATATGATCATCATGATATTGTATTAACATAATATTTAAGAAGCTTATATTAATTAATTCAAATAATTAATAGTACTATATAAAAACTTACTTAATATATGTCTCCCACTCGACGTAATTAATAATTTTTCATTGATGGTATCGCAAACAAGTTTTCAATATGTCTACTGTCACAATACTGAAATATAGGTCAGGCTGATTGAAATGCTTATAAAATAGTACAAGTACCAGCTTATATGCTTAAAGCGCTCTCTTTTATAGTAAATTTTCGATGAAACGGCCAAGTATTTTCCATGGTGAGAAACGTATGATTTTTCCCCAATATGGTGATGATCAGGCAGCACGTTGTAATTTCTATTTCTTTCCAAGCTGATAATGGAGATAGGCTGCTCGCTGGCTGCATCGATTGATCAATTAAAAAAAAAGAAAAAAACTGAACTAGAGAACGTAAAAAGAAACAAAGATATTTACACCCAGCTACACTCTGAGGTCTGGAGATTTCAAAGTGAAAACACTGGGTTGATTATTCTCAACTCATTTCTACCAGACTGAATAGTAAATAGCCCCAACTTTTACTACTCAACTATTATCTATTGTTGTGATACGTGTTTTGGTTATATTGATTACCTCTTGATGACTAATAATCATGAGTATCTGACTAATCACGGTTTGCCCACGAGTTTTTCTTGCAAGGACCACAGAATTACCGAATCCGGAATGTGTCTACTCGTTATAACGTTTTGTAAAATTCAGATGTAGACCAATATTCAAATTACAACATGTCAAATCATTGAATTGATGAGTTCAATGCTCCAGATTTAATATCCAGTGAATGGTTATGGTGAATTTTTCTGAGAATATGGTATGATGAGTGGGGGTGGCGACTGGTTGGTTTTTTGAGCAGCTTTTTTGAGCAGCTAGCAGCTCAACAATATTATGATGATGTTTGAGAATTATAGGAACGATTGGTTGAGAAATGATACAAATGCGAATATTAGCTGGTGGTGATTGTGGTGGTGATATTACACTCATTTATACGATTCATTGACTACTTAAACCTTTAATGATGGCTGTTTCATTATTGGTTGTTGGATAGTGTTTTTTAGTATCAAAACTGGCTTGGTTAATGATTTCGAAAATGTGGATTGTTTCATTATTTTGGTTGTTTCAAACAATTTTAGCAATTGATTATAGTGACGATGTTTACAACACTTTGTTTAAATTAACTTATTATCCAAAAATCTCTTATTGTTCATATGAACCAACATTTCATCCAGGCCCTTTAGAAGATGCATGTCCAAAAATTGAATTTTGTGAAAAATCATCAAGTACTGAAATTGAAGAAGTTGTTCGTCCTGATGTGTTAGATAAGGAAATTAGTGGAACTTCATATATTGCAATTGATCATTCCAAAAGAAAAGTTTATGTTGTGTTTAGAGGTACTCTAAGTCCAGGTGATGCATTAACTGATATAACTTTTTTGCAATGTCCTTATGTTCCAGTTTTAGCTAATGGTGTTAAATATGAAATGTTTTCAAATGTTTCAAAACCTGAAGATGTTGTGGAGACTTTGAATTCCAAATCAAATGATTTTAAAAAATTTGATTGTGAAGATTGTATGGTTCATTGTGGATTATATGTTGAATTTACAAAATTTATTGGTGAAGTTTTCGAAACTGCTCAACCTTTTTTAGATAAAGGTTATGAATTGGTTGTTACTGGTCATTCACTTGGTGGTGGGTATGCCCTTTTAGGTGGGTTGGAATTTTTAACTAAAGGTTATGATCCATTATTAGTTACTTATGCTTCATTAAGAGTTGGTGATCCTGTTTTCAATGAATGGGTTGATAAAAAATTTCATACTGATGAAAATGTTGAGATTTTAGCTAATGGTGGTGATTTACCAATCCCTTCATTTTCAAGAGTTTATCAAGAGACTGATATCGTACCAAGATTACCACCTGTTTTACCAGGTATTGCTAAATATACTCATTCTGGAATGGAGTTTGCAATTACAAAAGTTCGTTTACCTCATGAAAAGGAGAATGTTTTATTTAAAGGTGCTTCTAATAATTATGCTAATGATGGGATTGATTTCAAATTCCAACCTGGGATTTTATTGCCATATTATCAACATACTCATGAATTTCAAAGAATTTCATGGCCATGTGATGATTCTGATACTCCATTTCCATAAGGTGTTTTCATCGTATAATAAATTCACCAGTTTGTGTAATGTATTTAACACCTTTATAAGGCTTTATATCATTTAAACCTCTTGTAATTTTCAATGAATCCACTCTAATACCACTTGGTAATGCACCTTTATTTGAATATGAAATTGAAATTGATTTAGGAAATACAGGATCTATTGGTGTTTTTTCATCTGTATCTTGATAAGTTTCATCATCATCTGTTTTTTCAACAATACCACGTAATATTGGATTTATACCTAATGAAATTATTGGATCAAAGATCCATTCAAATTTACCATTTGATTTTGTTTGGAAATCACCATGACTTAATCTCAATATCTTGATTGTATAATCATGATTTGTAAATAATTGAATCTTTAAATTTTCCAATTTTGAAACATTTTTGAAAAAATTTATATTTAATGAAATTTCAAATTCATTTTTCTTCAAACCTAATCCAGTTTTAAAATCTGGATTAATGAATCCAATATTTCTTTGGATCTTATTAGTTGGATAAGAATCTAAATCAATCGTATAATTCATTATAGTGGATTTCCCATCTGGTGGTATAAATGATAATGTTCCTTCATTATTTATCCATTTATCAGTTCGTACACATCTATGAAGTGATGGAACTCCAAGGTAATGACCATTCAAATTCAAATAACACAAGATCTCTGGGACCCCACTAAGATGGGATGTAAAATCAATTTCACCATGAATTCTTGCAACAGTGGGTATTAATTTTTGATGATGGAAAGATGTTGAAGAATTGTAAATATTTGATGATTTCCCACTAGTTTTCTTGTTTTTCTGTTGATGAGGTGTCAAGATAACATTGATTGTTTCTTTAATATCAACAAATAATTCATTATTAGTATATTTAACATTTGAACTTCTCCATGGTAATTTTTGTTCTGATGATGAATTTCTTGGTTGATTTGCAAATGAATTATGAGATGATGACGATGAATAACTCTTTGCCAATTGGTTTGTTGTTTGTAAGATTTTACTTCCTAATGAAGATTTGAATGGGACTAAATCTTTCAAGGTATTATTATCTGTAATGTATGGATATCCACCTTCCAAAATTTCTTGCATAAGGTTACACATAATATCATAATTTGCTTCAATTTTCAAGGAATTTAAAGGGTGTCCAAAATAATCTTGTAATATTTCCAAAATTCTATCAAGAAATCTGAAGATGAAGTTTGGATTTATTATTGACACGTTATTTTCCTTATTTTCACCATCGTCTTTTGATTCATCATCTTTAAAACTTTCATCGTCGTCATCATCGCTAGCATCTGGATTCAAACTTTTGAGACTTAGACTTTCCTGAGCTGATAGGTTTTCCACTAAAGCATAGATTGTGATCTTTTCATTAATCAATTTATAAATTGTATGGATTTTGGAGATTTCCACAATTGAACTATTATGAGAATTTGAGTTATAACTCTGAGCCCCGATCCCTTTGATTGCAGATAAGATGGTTTTCAAATTAGGGGAGTTTGCACTAGTTGGATATTCGAATATTAAAGTACTAGAAGGGGTGTTAGTATTAAATCTCGTCATTGATCAACATCCAACAAACATACTCTCGATCATCAGCAATATAGAGACCTTCAACAGTGGCCATTTCTTGAGCAGCAGAAACAAAACGACAACAACGACAAACAGAGGGAAAATGCAATTGAGCAATATGGAAACACGCACACGGAACGATTTGTGGTATTCTTGTTGTCTTCTTTTGGTTGTTGTTGTCAATGGCAAAAAGTGTCAGCGTTTTCAATTCCAAAAACTGAACGAAAACTGGTTCGGCCACTGCGCTGATAGGTGATAGGTGAATTTTACATAGTGAAAATGTAATAAAGAAACTAGTTTTATAGTGGAATCATGGTTTTTCTGGTGTTTCTACTGCTTTATTTCACATATTAACATTATTATTATTATTCTTTGCATAAAAACCCATTATTAAACAAAAAAAAAGAAGAAAACGATCTATTTACGTGGAGCTGAATCACTAGAGTTGTCATCAACAACACCGACACCATGAGAAGCTCCATTCTTTTCATTTGAACCAGCAAGACTATCATCTTCTTCAGCTGCTAATTTGTGGATATCAACATCCAATTCTCTAGCAACTTTTTCTTCAACATTGGAAATATCAATCAACCCATAAATGGAAATGGTGATTAAACCTAAAACACCAGCAACACATGAAAACACAAATGCAACATAACCTTTAGCAGTGAATCCAGTTGGAACTGCTGGAGCTTGAACATTTTCACCTGTTAAGTCCAAGAAATTTGTGTTTGCAGCAGCATTAGCATTGATACTAATGTTCAAGTTTTCACAAACTGCTTTATGGTTTTCAGTTAATTGTTGAGAAGGATTGTTTTGAATATCTGCTGGACTTTCAATCAAGATTAAACCTAAACCTTGCTCTAAATGCCAGTCAACATGACAATGGAAGAACCAAACACCTGGGTTATCGGCTTTGAATCTTAAAACCATGTTTGAATGACCATTAACATGGACAGTATCTCTCATCATTGGATAATGTGGGAATTCTGGATGATCATCAGCATTGTATGGAACAATATCAGTGGCATCTTCGGTACCTGAGTAAGTATCTCTATCAATCAATTGGAAAACATGACCGTGTAAATGGAATGGATGTCTACCAGTATCGTTATTGTTGATGATAATTTCCACAATATCATTTTTACCTAAAACATAAGCATGGGTGTTTGAACCATAGATTTCAGCATTTGTAGCTAAATCACCAGCAGCTAAAACAGTCATTAAAGTTGGAACTTTTGGTGCAGTATAAGTTAAATTGTTGAAAAAGGCGTAATTGATACCATTCTTCAAATTATCCATAACAACTTCCAAAGTAATAGTTAAATCTGGTTCATCATATAATTCAGTCTTATTAACTGGAGTCAAGTAAAAATCATCTAAATGATCATCATAATCATCAATGGTAACTTCTGAAACTTCTTCATTGCTGGAAGAATAAGATAAAGTGTTTGTAGCATTAACCATCAAATCAGCAGGTTGAAGATCCAACATACCAACATCACATAATTGCATGATGGCATAGTTCTTTGAAGTATCTGATTTGGTTCTTAATAAGAAAGTATAACGTTGAGCAACTGAAATATAAATCATATTCGTTGAGTTTTTCTCCACTGGAACACCATCAACTTCAATAACTTCCAATTCATGATCTTCAATATAGAAATAATATGAAACAAACCCACCAATATTGATCAATCTAACTAAATAAGTAGTATCTGGTTGAACTTCCCATGTAACATTTCTAGTATTGTTCATCAAGAAATTTTGAGGAATTGGTTCAGCACCTGTTGGATTGAATTTATTTAAGAAAGTTGGTAATAATTCATAAGAAGTTTTATGATACCATTCATTTAAAGTGATTGCAAGTTCTTGATCATAATCTTTACCTTGTTTATAAGGATAATCAGGGTCATGAATGATGAATAACCCTCTCATACCGTCCATATATTGACCACTTGTATGAGAATGATACCAATAAGAACCATGTTGTTCAGTGACGGTAAAGTTGTATAAGAAAGTTTGACCAGGACCAATTGGACATTGAGTAACCATTTCAGGACCATCCATTTGATTAGTTCCTGGTTGGAATAAACCATGGAAATGTAATGAAGTGTTTTTATCATCAAACCCATTAGTTAAATAAACTTGAACAGTATCACCTTTTTGCACTTGAACATCTGGCCATGGGAATTCACCATTACATGTAATGATTCTTCTCATGTTACCAGTACCATCTAAATCTCTTTCACCATAACCTGTAGTCCAGTTGAAAACATGAGTTTCAGCTGCAACTAATGTTGAAGCAAATAATATGGTTGAAGTTAAAACGTTTGTTAAACTAACCATTGTGAATGTATAATGATGATTTCAACCAGGGAGTAAAACTTCATTCATTCAGTCTCAATTGAACAAATTCAAAAGAATTTTCTTGAGTTATATACCAATTAACAAAGCTACAACACCAACGACATCCTTGATGCAAAATTTAATTTGGAGGCAGCTCAAAACTTCTTTTTCTTGCATGAGACATAAAGATTATAAGGCCGATCCCAAAATAAGATGAGAAACGGTTGCAGCAGAAAAGAAGAAACGATTGGGGGATTGGACAAGGAGGGAACTAGTTTGAAAGGATATGATGATGGTGAGCCAATGGTTAATGAATCTACGTATAAACTCTCTTTCCAACCAATTTTCTAGCTCTATTGTCGGTGCTTTTTGTATGGTTTGTCCTGGTTCTACACAAGCTTTCAAAGCAGGTTCTTGATTCTTGGACACTTTGCCATGCAGCAGCACCAGTTTGAATTTAATCAGATTGATCAGTTGTGTAGAGAACCGGAATCGTGTACGACTATTGTGTTTAACCATTTTCAGCCAATCCTGTGCTGTTAAATTGCAGGAGATGTCCTTGTTTTCCTGTTGGGACATCTTAAGGTTATCAGATGAATCAGCTACAGCTAGCCAAGTCAACGGTTTTAAAGTGAAGGAGACATAAAGGGATTGGTCAATCAGTATTAGAATGTCATCTAATAACCTAGTTTCTATCTACCAATTCATAACCTGGATTCCTCACTCTTTCCCAGTCAATCTTTAACCGGCTGATTCCAGAACCCTTTCACTCTTTATCAGATTCATCAACTCTAAAAGGTTTTGTCCGTGGATGCATCGAAAAGTGGACGTTTAATTCGACTAAAAAACACCTGGAAAAAAAAATTTTCAACATGACTCTGCAAAAAATTAAGCTTATTTCGAATACCAAGAATCGTTTCAACGAATCAACCAAAAGAAACAGGCTTAAAATTCTCAATGTTCCTGGCTTTGTTAGGTTGCCTCATGAAATCATTCCACTCGAGCACTACAAATTATCAGCTACGCATACACCCTTGAAATTTCCTTACAAGCCTGGTAAAGAACCACACAAGCAACAAGAACCCTATCCAATTGGATAAATGTATCTTTGAGTGTAGTACCAATTGGTTTTCTTCCCAATTCACCAAAGTGATCTTTGATATCATTAAAATCAGTTCAAAATTGTCCACCCAAATTCCAATCCTCGCACAGAAAAACTGCCCACTGATTGGCTCAAATGTGGGAAAAACACCGACACTTATTTCCTGTTTTGGGCATGTCTGGACAATTCACAACTGTATGTATAAACTCAAAGTTGTAATAATTTTTATCTGATTGATCAATCAACTGAAAAAGGGCTCGTAAAGTACATATAGCATTGTTGAAATATTTAGATCATCATCATCATGATTCATTGGCTTGTTGTAACAGTTTCCTGGATCTTGATTACTTTAAATCTTAAGTGAATCTGTGTCTTCAATTTCTCAACTTACTGAGCGTGCCTCAGGTGTGAAGTGAACGGCCATTTGGAATAACTAGTATGAGAGTTGAAGCCCAAGAAGACTTCCAAGTGTTCCACTTATATCCATCAGCCTGTTGGTGTGTATAATTAACGCACTGATCTTCAACTTACTCACACATCTATTCATCGTAAACCAATTAAAAGCAGACCCGTTAAAGATCTTTGAAATTAGGCTAGTGATCGTTGGATCAGGTTCATGGGTCACCGACAGGATTGGAAACAAGAGCTACTACAAAATATTTGGGGATATCTCATTCCTTAAGTACTGATCCAATTTAATTGCTCATGAACTTCATCTTTCAATTGTGATCTACTTTGTGTACTATTTGAGTCGATTTATTTGCTCAAGCCTCGCTAATGCTGAATCCAATGTGCACTACCAATCATAAGTACCCACGATCTCTTGAACACCTTCTTGGTTCTTGGCCCTAACTCCTAGGTTCGCATACTACGTACAAATGTATTCAAATTTCACACCTATAATTTTTTTTCCCTATACAAGGTCGTAATTGTGACAATAACGAGGGTGTAATTCACGTGATATTTTAGTGTACACGTGACATGTCACGTTTTCTGTCATTTTTTTTATAAACTTCCTCGAGGTTTGCTTTAAAACCACCCAAAAAAACATGACACATTAAACTAACTTTACACAGATTCATTCATATCTTTGATCACCTTTATTATGATATAACCAATATGTCAAATTCTAAAATCACTAGTTTGATCAAAGATAACCTAAACGTTTTCTCAAAACTACAATATTTCACTAAAAGAGGTCATATCAAAACAGGTACTGTTAAATCTCCACCAGTTGTTAATCATGGTTATAAAAGATCTACTGCACCAACTGCTTTACCAATTTCTAAAATATTAACTACGAAATTATTCCCATTATCAATAAATGAATCATTCCAAGATTATATAAAGAGGAAAGATATGGATATTGCACAAGAGAATCTATTAAGTCTGTTAAAATGTCATGGTTCAGTTGAAGATTTTAGAATTTCAAAACTATTGAAAATTCAAATTGATGATGATGGGAATTATATTAATGAATTTGTTATATATCCCAAGAATGCAAATTATTCAGAATTAAATCATTTTGTATTGATTCATGGATATGGTGCAGGGTTGGGATTTTTCCTTAAAAATTTTGATGAAATTAGTATCAAGAAAAATTGGTGTATTCATTCAATTGATTTATTAGGTTATGGTTGTTCATCACGTCCAATTTTCAATTCTAAAACATCAATCGAGGAATATTTTGTGGATACTTTAGAAAAATGGAGAATAAGTAGAGGTATTGATAAAATGTTGATGTGTTCTCATAGTTTAGGTGCATATATGAGTTTACTCTATACAATGAAATATCCCAAGCATGCTCAAAAACTATTATTAATCTCACCAGCAGGGATCTATAAACCTTTGGATTTGAAATTGAATATACCTGTTTGGTTTAATTATCTTTGGGAACAAAACATTTCACCATTTTCTTTAGTTAGAAATACTGGACCTTTTGGAAGTTTAATAACATCAGGTTGGACATCAAGAAGATTTGCCAAATTAACTTCAAGGGAGCAATTTTTTTTACATAAATATACTTATTCAATTTTCAATGCAAGAGGTTCTGGTGAATATTATATGAGTCAAATCTTGGGAGCTGGTGGTGTTCCCAAACTACCAATAATTGAAAAAATTGATCAAATAACTTGTGATACAACTTGGTGTTATGGTGATGAAGATTGGATGCCAAAAGAAGGTGGGTTGAAAAGTATTGAAAAGATTAAACAAAATACTGATTTCAATAGTGAGTTTAAAGTCTTTGATAATTCTGGTCATCATATCTATTTAGATAATTATAAACAGTTTAATGAGTTTATCTTGGAAGAGATGGACACTTATGAAAAAACATATATATAGAAATAATATTCGCATAATTATACATATTCGGTTTGGTTTCAAAAATGTAATTTGGATATATAAATATCATATATTGACTCATGAGAAAAAACAATACAAAACAACAAAAAGGTTCAAACCTTAAAAGACAAAATGATTGAAAAAAGGGAGGAAAATTAAAATAACAAAATGACATAAAAACGTGTGATTGATAAAGTTCATGGTTAATTCAAGAACGAGCATAAGCTTGATCAACTTCTTTCTTGTTAGCTTCCAAAATCTTCTTTCTTTGTAATTTTTGTGCAGATGTAACAAATCCATTTTGTGGAGTCCATTCTTCATCAGAGAACACTAAACCAGCAATTAATTCGATACCATTTAAACCTTGAGATTTAGCAGTACTAACTAAAGCTTTTGAAACTTTATTAACTAATTTAGGTTCATGTAAAGCCTTGTGAATATCATCACTTTCAGATTTGATTAAACCTAATTCCAAAGCTAATGATTTGATTGCAGTTTCATTTGGAACAACAATACCAACTGGTTTAGCATGGTTTTGATCAGCATAAACACAAATGTTTTGAACATAAGTATTTGAACGATATACTGATTCCAGTTTTTCCAATGCAATATATTCACCATTCAAAGTTTTAACTAAATTCTTTTTACGATCAATGATTTTCAATTGACCAGTTTTAGTCCATTCACCAATATCACCAGTTTTAAACCATCCATCTGGATCGAAAGAATCTTTAGTTTCTTTTTCATTCTTGTAATATTCTGGAGTAACTGGATAACCTCTAATCCAGATTTCACCTTGATCGTTCTTTGCATAATAACCAGCATCTGCAACATCAACTAATTTAACAGTGATGGACCCACTTAGGGCACCTTGAACATCAAATTCAAAATCATCTGGGTGAACAACTGTAGTGTTAGCAACAGTTTCAGTTAAACCGTAACCAATCAACATTGGACATAACAGATTTGAAATGAAAATTTGAGTATCTTTTGAAATTGGCGAACCACCATTCAAGACAAATCTTAAATTACCACCAGTTGCTTGTTTAACTTTTTTGAAAATAAAATTATCAATTAAATAAGTTGAACCAGGAACTTTCCAATTTTTCAATTTATAATTATAACAACCCCAAAATAATTTTTGAGTTAAAGCAGGTTGTTTAGCTATTTGTGCCATAATACCTTTTTTAATTGTTTCCCAAACAGCTGCAACTGCAACCATGATTGTTGGTTTAAAAGTTTTAATATCACCTGAACAATTTCTAGTTGAAGTATCAGTTAAAGTCTTGACATTGGCATAACCAATTGTACCATTCCAATAAAATGCAATCAATTCAAAAGCTAATTCGAAAATATGAGCTAATGGTAAAAATGCAATGATACGATCTTTTTCATTAATTAATGAACGATCAATAATAAAAGAAACACCTGCAACACCAGATAAAATATTTTCATGTGTTAAAACAACACCTTTTGGATCACCAGTTGAACCTGAAGTGTACATAATACATGATAGATCTGAAGCTGATGGTGGATTAACTGGAGTATCTGGGGAATCTTTACCCATTTGATGAACTTCATCTAATGATACGATTTTGATATCTGGTCTAACTTCAAGGATCTTATCGACTGCAGATTTAGCTTCTTGATATAATTCACCTTCTTGTCTTTTATCCTTTGGATCAATTGGTTCTGAATGGATAATGAATTTGATATCTTTAGCTTTTTGTAAAGGATTGATCAAAGCACTTAATAAATGATTATCAGTAAAGATAGCATTTGATTCAGTTTGAGTTAAAGAAACTGTTAAACCTTTTTCACCTAAAGTATCATAAGCAGTAACAACTGGAATAGCTTGAGATTGAGAAGCTAAGAATGTTTTCATCCATTTATGAGAAGTTGATGCAAAAATGTGTAGTTTATGTTCACCACTTGGTTTCAAACCCAATTGAATCAAACCACGACCATAATCATGAACATATTTGTTCAATTGTTTATATGATTCATATTTATAATCAGTTAATTCATAAAATAACCAAGTTTTTTCAACCTCTTGTTCTTCACCATCAACCATCTTTTTAACCATTTTCTTCTCTTTATGGACTTCAACGATATCTCTGTAACCGATTGCATGACGATCGCCACCTTTGTTGAAAGCTTCCAACATGAATTCATAGATTGTGTTTGCTTTATAACCGACTGGTCTTTTGATTGGAGTATGATCTTTTAATTTAGCATTTCTTCTTGGGGCGGTTTCACCAGCTCTTTCTGGCTCAGCCACTGGGACATTGACTAGATGGACCATCGTGTATTATGGATTGAGGACCTGATTGCTTTGTGTAGCTATTGTTTTGCCTTCAAAGAAGAGAAGGAAGTTGAAGATTCAAGAAAAATTTAATTCCGAAGAAATTTGAACAACCAAAAAGCTGACGTCTGTCGATTGCCGAATGTAAACAAGCTTGACCAAATTTGAAGGGGATTATGATATGGTTTTGAAAGGGTTTTAAAGTGGAAATATAGAGATTGTATTAGTTTATTATGTTATCTATTAGCTAAAAGTCGATTCAAGTGACACAATCTTGATCGTTTTTTAGTGTGATTTCTAGCGAGTACATGAGCTACAAGAAATAATCAAACGCGTCACGAGGCTCATTGGAAATTTGACACCAAAATATTGATCACTTGTATGAGAATATTTTAAAACGGCAGCCATACAGCCAAAATTGACACAATATAGTCAATTGTGGTATCAGATGATTCTGTGTTTGTGCAATTGTTATTATCTTCGGCATTCAATTTGACACAACACTAAACTCTACTCAAAGCCAGAATTAGATCTCCTTGGGCATTTCATCAATTTGACACTTTATTCATGTCACTGTACATCAAAACTATGGTAATCCCGGCTGTTTAACCCATCTGAAACCAGCTTTCTTTTCTAGTTCGTCAAAGTTGAACTTTACAATTCAGTGTCTGCCAGAGCGCCACGGGCAATGGCAAAGTTGTTGGGTCTGTGTTTGCCCAACAAATCTCACGAATTTCCAGATCGAGTCGCGAAACGGGGAAATGCGCCATTTGCGAGAGGGGAACCAATAACCTTTCCTGATTGGGCTAGTTACCAACTTTGGAAAAATTCAGTTTTGAGAGAGGGTAATAATGAATCTTATTGATTAGGTAATCATTCGTGTATTATGTAATCTTTGGACTTTTTTTCTATAGGATAAAAAAATTTAGAGGCGCCTTTAGTAAAGAGATGAGTTTATCAAGTCTTCATCACATATCTGCAAACAAGCAATGACCACTCCATTGGTCAACAAGAGAAAGATCACAGATGGTCTAACTGTCACCTCAAAGGTCTTTGTGAGATCAAGAAATGGGAATGCTTCCAAAATTGTCAGAGAACACTACTTGAGAAATGATATACCATGTTTATCCAAGAAGTGTAACAAATGTTTCCAAATTTTAACTCCAAATGCTCAAGGCGAATTGCCAAAGTTTATCCTCAGTGAAGACCCATTAAACATTAAAGCTCTTGGTGGTGCCCATTATGTCATTGTCGATACAAATATCATCTTGCAAGCTATTGATTTATTGGAAAATAATGCAATTTTTTTCGATGTTATAATCCCACAAACCGTTTTAGATGAAGTTAGAAATAAAAGTTTCCCAATATATACAAGAATAAGAACTTTATGCAAAGATAATGATAAGAGATTTATTGTTTTCCATAATGAATTTAATGAAGAAACTTTTACCAAAAGATTAGATAATGAAACTATAAATGATAGAAATGATAGAGCTATAAGAAATGTGGCAAAATGGTTTCAATCTCATCTTGATGATAAAATCAAGATGGTTTTAATAACAAATGATAGATTAAACAAAGAAGCTGCTTTGAAAGATAAAATAATAACTAAAACTTTACATGAATATGTTGATTTATATCCAAATGGTGAAAATTTCAAAGATTTGATTCCAACTGAAGATTCTTTCAAACCAAGAGAACAATCAACAACAATTTACTATAAAGATTATTATCCAACTTCAAGATTAATGGGTGGTTTGAAAAATGGTACTTTATATCAAGGTGCTATTAACATTTCTTCATATAACTTCTTGGAAGGTGAAATTACTATTCCAACTTTACCAAAACCTCTATTAATCTTGGGTAATGAAAATTTAAATAGATCTTTCAATGGTGATTCTGTTATAGTGGAATTACTACCGAAATCTAAATGGAAAAAACCTTCAACAATGATTATTGATGATGAAAATTTGAATTCAAATGATGATCCAGAAAATGATGATGTCACAGAATTAACGGATAAAGAAAGAAGATTATTAACACAAGATGCAATAAGTACTCAAAGTAATGATCAAGATGAATTGCAACCAACAGGTCGTGTTGTTGGTATTGTGAAAAGATCTTGGAGATTATACGTGGGGCAAATTGTTGCAAACTCTGTTTCAAAATCTTTAACAAATTCTGCAAAATCTTGTTTTGTTAAACTAATGGATAAAAGTTTACCAAGAATTAGAATTAAAACAAGAAGAGCTCAAGAATTATTGGGTAAAAAAATCGTTATTGCTATTGATTCTTGGAATACAACTTCAAAACATCCAGAAGGTCATTTTGTTAAATCTTTAGGTGAAAGTGAATCCGTTGAAGCTGAAACTGAAGCTTTATTATTAGAACATGATGTGGAATATCGTCCATTCAGTAAAAACGTTTTGGATTGTTTACCAGAAGAAGGTCATGATTGGATAGTTCCTCAAGATTTACAAGATGAACAAGTTTTGGCAAAAGATCCATTATTACCAAAGAGAAAAGATTACAGAGATAAATTGATCTGTAGTATTGATCCTCCTGGTTGTGTTGATATTGATGATGCCTTACATGCAAAGCAATTACCAAATGGGAATTGGGAAGTTGGTGTTCACATTGCAGATGTTACACATTTTGTTAAAGCTGGTACTGCTTTAGATGCTGAAGGTGCTTCAAGGGGTACTTCTGTTTATCTTGTTGATAAGAGAATTGATATGTTGCCAATGTTATTAGGTACTGATTTGTGTTCTTTGAAACCTTATGTGGAAAGATTTGCATTTTCTGTTATTTGGGAATTAGATCAAGATGCAAATATTGTTAATGTTGATTTTAATAAATCAATCATCAAATCAAGAGAAGCATTTTCATATGAACAAGCTCAATTACGTATTGATGATCAATCAAATCAAGATGAATTAACAAAAGGTATGAGAGCTTTATTACAATTATCCAAGAAATTAAAACAACAAAGATTAGATGCAGGTGCTTTAAATTTAGCAAGTCCAGAAGTTAAAGTCCATATGGATAGTGAAACTTCAGATCCTGGTGAAGTGGAAATTAAAAAACTATTAGAAACAAATTCTTTAGTTGAAGAATTTATGTTGTTGGCAAATATCAGTGTTGCAAGAAAAATTTTCAATGAATTTTCACAAACTGCAATGTTGAGACGTCATTCACCTCCACCTTCAACAAATTTTGAAAAATTAAATGATATGTTGAGAATTCGTAAGAATTTATCAATTTCAATTGAATCTTCAAAAGCCTTAGCAGATTCTTTAGACCGTTGTATTGATCCAAATGATGATTATTTCAACACTTTAGTTAGAATCATGTCAACTCGTTGCATGATGGCTGCTGAATATTTCAGTTCTGGCTCTTATGGTTATCCAGAATTCCGTCATTATGGGTTAGCTGTTGATATTTATACCCATTTCACTTCACCAATTCGTCGTTATTGTGATGTTGTTGCTCATCGTCAATTAGCTGCTGCTATTGGTTATGAACCTTTAGATTTAACTCATAGAGATAAGCACAAGATGGAATTGATTTGTAAAAACATTAACAAGCGTCATAGAAATGCTCAGTTTGCTGGTAGAGCTTCAATTGAATATTATGTTGGTCAAGTTATGAAAAATAATGAATCTACAGAAACTGGATACATCATTAGAGTTTTCAGTAATGGTATTGTTGTTTTGGTTCCTAAATTTGGTGTTGAAAGTTTGATCAAATTAGAAGATTTAACAATCCATGTAAATGATGCTAAATTTGATGAAGCTGAATATTCATTAAATTTTAAAACAAATGATGGTGATAGAAGAACTGTTGCTGTCTTTGATAAAGTTCAAGTTGAAGTGAAGTCTGTTTTGGATCAAAGTGTTGGTAAACGTAAAGCTCAATTGATTTTGAAATAGGTTTAATAAACAAAGTGATTTAATCTTAGATTATTGTGGATCGTGTAGCATAAAATCATTTATACACGACTAATTCTTCAGTACTTGGTCGGAGATAACAAGTGTAAAATCCGTCATTTCGTTTTTTTGTGTCATTATGCTTCAACGTGTATTTTTGGACATATCCAGGGCAAGAATCCCTTGTTGAAGCTCATTCTTATCACTCGAATAACTCTAGAGACTTGAAATAGTATTCATCATCTTTTAGTTCTTAATAGAAGAAGCCACTTAAAAAGGTGGAAAAAGATCATTCCGATGACGCAATTCGCGAAGTCTCTAATTGGAAATTCTTTTTCGCCAAAACGCACCAGCCAATTCGCCTGACAGGAAAACACGAATGTACATAGTTTATGGGTAATCTAAAACAAATGCAATTGAACCTGTCGAGACTCGAGAGTATGAATCCTAAAGTCATTCAATAATTGAAGACTTTCCGCACACCCAATTTTCACGTTGAGCAATGCCTATTTCAAAATCTGTGCCAAAACGTCAAGGCTTGAAGATGAGTGTTCAAATCGGGTGTAATTTTTGGGCCCTTTTTTAAGGTCAACGAAAAAAAAATATAGAGTCGAATACGAATAATTAAAGTTATCGATTCGATCTTAAGTCCTTCAATAACAATATAAAAACTCAGAATTATAAATTACATGGCTTCAGAAACTCGTTCAAGTTCCTTACTGATCTGAGAGACTACAAGAATTATAGAAATCTAGAAGATCAGACCCACAAAATGGATTTGAATCAACCGTACAACAATTATACCACTGTCCCGTTGAATAGAGATGAGTCTCAAGAGTTAACAGCCAAAGAGGAAGCTTTGCTAAAAGAATACGAAATCAGAGAACAAGATAGATGGTTGCCTTTAGCCAATGGTGAGTTTCCCCTTTCACGATTCTTGAAATTTGAAGCTAACAAAGCGATCTAGTTGGCCGAGTTATGAAGACTGCATTACCATCTCATGCCAAATTATCCAAAGAATCTAAAGAGTGTGTACAAGAATGTGTGTCTGAATTCATCTCCTTCATCACATCAGGTGCTGTTGATAAATGCCAGGCTGAGAAGAGGAAAACATTGAATGGTGAAGACATCTTGTATGCAATGAATACACTTGGATTTGAAAACTATGCTGAAACTTTAAAGATCTATTTGGCCAAATATAGAGAGGTAAGTTTGATCTCAACCTTGGTTCTCTATTGTTGAATACTAACAATACCCTAACAGCATGAAAGATTGGAGGCAGATGAAAGAAGGGAAAAGGACAGAATGAAACGCCAACTCAGAAAGGAACGCAAAGAGCGTGAACGACGTGAAATGATGGCACGCTCAGGTGATGTTGACCAGGGAGCAATTTCTCAGGATAACACAAACTTTGATTCACTTGACGATGAAGATGGTGAAACTCCAATTGGTGGAGATGAGGTGGATGATGTTGACATAAACGACCTTCGATATGATATTGATAACCCAGCTATTGAACAATACGTATTGAGTGGAAATTCTAATGATATAAATGTTTATGATGAGAATATCAATTTTGAAGAACAAATTTGAGATTTATAGGCGCTCTATTTTTTTTGTTTTTGTGCCACCATTCTTGATGTTAACATGACTTTTGTGTTTGTGAAAGCTCTTGGGGCTCAAAGAAAACTAGAAAAACAAGCATTATTGATAGATGGTGTAAATGGTAAAGCCCAATCAACCTATCTAACAATATTGACAAAACGATGTTGATGAACCTAGTATTTGCATTTTTTGTGATTGGTGCCAATGCTGTTAATTTTGTTGTTCAGTTCAAACAAGATTTCACCTTTGATAATTTCTTCACCAAATATTATAACCAAAAAGAATCAATAGATGTTGCAAGTGCCCAAAGCTTAGGGTTCAAAGTGTTTGATATGGGCCTGTTCAAAGGGATAATGGGTGAATTCAATGCTGATATGATCAACTCATTGTACTATGATAAAAATATTGCTTCAATTTCCATTGATCGAGAACTAGTTTTGGCTGAAGTTCAGGAAAATGCACCAAAACATTTGGCAAGACTATCCCAAAAAGAAGCTTTGAAAAACAATCGTGAGTATAAGCATATTTTTTTTTTTGAATCTGGTCTAACCTTTAGCAGAAAAGTTTGATTTTGTTTATGACCCTTCAGGCGGTATTGGTGTTGATGTTTATATTTTAGATTCAGGAATCCATGCTTTACATTCTGATTTTTCTAGAAGAGTGACCAAAATTGCTGATTTCACTGGAGAAGGTGGTGGACAAGAAGACTCTGTTGGTCATGGTAGTTATATGGCGGGTGTTATTGGATCTGAGACTTATGGTGTTGCTAAAAAATCTAATCTTTTTGATGTTAAAGTCACCGATAAAAAGGGAAGAACAAAGTTATCTGCAGTTATTGGGGCATTGAGTTTGATTCTAGCTGATTCTAAAGTTACCAATAGACCAACGTTAGTTGTTGTTCCATTAATTATGAAGAAAAATGCAATCTTAAATGGAGCCATTGAGAGCCTTGTTAAAGAAGGTATTCCTGTGATTGTTCCAGCTGGTAACGATGGTAAACAGTCATGTAATTATTCCCCAGCAAGTGCCAAAGGTGCTTTAACAGTTGGTTCAATTGATGTTGAAACTGATTCAATCGCTAGTTTCAGTAATTGGGGAGCATGTGTTGATGTTTTCGCTCCAGGAACCAACATTAAAACCACAAGTAATCACAAGAATGAAGTTGTTACAAAAAGTGGAACCTCATTATCAACTGGTATTACGGCTGGATTGGTTGCATATTTCATGGGGATGGGTGATAGTGGTAAAGAAGCAGTTCAAAGAGTGATTCAATATTCTAACGCTGATAGTATTCCGGAAGAAAGCTTGAATTTCAAGCCATTAACAGCTAATAGAATTGTTTTCAATTGTGAAGGTAATCCAAATTGGGGGCCATCTTTTTAGATTATGATGGTTTCTAAGATTCCAATCCTGGGACGTTAATGTATAGAATTTCAAAAGTTTCCAAATGTTTTACACGATTTTTTTGCAAACTTTGTAATGTTTCGCGAAGGCTATAGCTTAAGCATGATTTTTGGCCGAATACAATTGATCAAATGATCAACATCACGTCTTATTTCAATCAAGTAATATCATTTGAATCAATTTACAACTCAAAAGTACAGGCAAAACAGCGGAATAATTTCTCGTAAACAATATTCTTTTATAATCGGATTTCGAAATGTCTATCTCGTAAATTTGATCGCGAGTGAAATATTAATTTATTCTTTTAGTTTGACTTTTTGATATCAAATGCAAAGGCCTTTATTTCTATAATTATATTGGAAGTAGTAGAAAATTTATGGCTTTTTAATGGAATAAGTTTTATCGTGCCAAGTGGCTTATACTTGTTTTTGCTTTAAATATTGGAGATCAATTATAGAACTTTGTCAAGGTTATAATTCCTAAATTACAGAACAAATGGAGGCTAAAATTTTTAGTTGAAAAAAAATTCCACTTTTGGTATTGAAACTTGTATCATTTCAAAGCAGAAGTGAGTTTGAAACTAATAACTTAGTATTCAAGTATTAAAATAATGGTTTTTTATTCTTTATCTTGTAAGGTATGTTTTTGTGACAAGCTGGGCGTGCTCCTACCGACCTTTTCAAAAACCGTTTATTTCCGCTGTACTGAAAATTTTGAATTAAATAATGCCACTGAATTTATTTTGTCCTCTTTAATGGGTCCCCTTAATTGTAAGTCTCAACTTGTTTGTTGTTGTGATATTTGACGTTTTCGACGAAAAAATGTTGACCAAGGTTATACTGATTACCCCCATGGTTGTGCTGAGTGATCCCCCTACAGCTAGCGAGACTCACCCAAGAGTGTAGGCAGAGACCCACTAAAAATTACCGACAACCTTTAGGGAGGGAGTCGCTAAAGCTAGCGGATGTCTTAGGGAGAGCCCCCCTAGAAGCTAGGCAGAAGAGTTGGGCGGGGCCCCCCTAAAGTTAGGCAGAGTTAATCATGGTTCGGCCACGGGGGTTTCAAAAAAATTCCGCGAAATTTCCTAATTTGGATTTTTCTACTCGTTATAATGTCTGGTAAAATTTGGAGATTGTGAAGTCTCGCAAAAGATTTGGAAAGAAATAGCTCCTGATTATGGCAAGATAAAGTTATCACAAATCCCAAAGATCCAGATAAGCATTTAAAAGACTTCTCTCTTTACATTGGGATAATCTGGAACACCAGAATTCAAAGAAGATGGAGTTCAATTGAACCTAAATTCGACGTTGCTGCTGTTCAAACAATGATAACGTCTTTCGCCAATCACAAATTAACAAATACAATTCGAAGAATTACTACCTTGGATCGTAAATTACAAGAAGAAAAATATTGAAATGATAGAAACCAGTTGTGACACAGCTTTATTAGCTTTTTTGATGCATCTAAGATTCAATTAGAATCACAAATTAGAGTGCAATTTTTTTTAGATAAGTGAATTTTTAAATGAGTAGAAGTGAAATAAACGTTAGTCATGTATACAAAAAAAAAGATGATGAGCTGTTTGATTGACCTTAATATTTATGATTTGAAAGCTCTGATCTTCAGTTTCCAAGAGAATGGTGAATTTGAAAATAAATCTCTACAATGTAAGTCTTCAAACAGTACTCCATAATAATTCAAATATAAACATATAAAAGAAAATGAATGAGAATCAATTCCTCAAGCCAGTGAGGAATAAAACATCAAGCTTATAATTTAGTAGCTGGTTGAGCTCTTTCAATAGTGGTAACATCATCATAAATCAAAGTTGTCAAGAAATCATGGTATTTCTTACCAGTAACATCATCTTTGAAATAATTGGCAGCTTCATAAAATTTATGACCAGATTTAGCATTTTTAGCTAAACCTTCAACAACTTCTTTTAATAATTTTGAAGTATATTCAGGAGTAATAGTAACACCTTTATCAGTCTTGGCTGCATGATGAACCCATTGATATAATTGAGATCTTGAAACTTCAGCAGTTGCTGCATCTTCCATTAAGTAATTAATTGGGACACAACCAATACCACGTAACCAAGCTTCAATATAACTTAATCCAATAACTAAATTAGCCTTAATACCATCTTCAGTGATTTTACCACCTTCAACAAAAGGACTTAATAAATCTCTTTGAGTGATTGGTTTATAATTTTCAATACCTTTTGGAGAATTGATTTGATTTGGTGTCAACATTTTTTTGAAAATTTCATTAGCAATTTCAGCTAAGGCAGGATGAGCAATCCAAGTACCATCATGACCTGCATTAAATTCACGTAATTTATCCTTTTTAACATTTTCCATGGCAATTTCATTTCTTTTTGGATCATTCTTAATTGGAATTTGAGCAGCCATACCACCCATAGCATGAACTTGACGTTTATGACAAGTGTAAATTAATAATTTGACATATGAAGACATGAAACCAACATTCATTGTAACTTGAGAACGATCTGGTAAGATGAATTCTGGATGATTTCTTAAAGATTTAATGTAGGAGAAGATATAATCCCAACGACCACAATTCAAACCTGCGGAATGGTCACGTAGTTGATAGATGATTTCATCCATTTGGAAGGCAGCTGGTAAAGTTTCAATTAAAACAGTGGCTCTAACTGTACCTCTTGGAATATTGATATAATCTTGAGAAACATTAAAGATATCATTCCATAATTTAGCTTCTAAATGATGTTCCATTTTTGGTAAATAGAAATAAGGACCAAACCCTTGAGCAATTGATTCTTTTGCATTGTGATAGAAGTAAAGAGCAAAATCTAAAATTGAACCACTAACTGGTTCATTATCAACCAAGATATGTTTTTCATCTAAATGCCATCCTCTTGGTCTAACAATTAAAGTTGGGATATGTTTGTTTAAATTCAATTTGTATTCTTTATTACCCTTTTTGAAATCAATTTGTTTACGAACAGCATCATATAAGTTGACTTGGCCATCAATAACATTTAACCAAGTTGGAGTGGCAGAATCTTCTAAATCACACATATAAGTTGCAACATGAGCGTTCAAGGCATTGATCAACATTGATCTTGAAGAAGGACCAGTGATTTCAGTACGACGATCTTGTAACTTTGGACCTAAAGAAGGACCTTTCCAATTGGCATCATCTCTAATATAAGCGGTTTCTGGTAAGAAGTTTGGCAAGATACCATCATCTCTTTTAGCTTGTTCAATTTGACGGTTTGATAAAAGTTGTAATCTTGTCTTGTTGAAAGAACGATGTAGAACAGCAACAAAGGCTAAAGCATCTGGAGTTAAGATATGTTTTGCATTTGAAGGGATTCTAGCTCTAACTTGAACACCTTGTAATAAGTCTTGAGTTTCTGGGAATGGGTTATCAGCAACAGTCATTTTTGTGGTAATTGGGATTGATGAAGTGGTGATAAAGAATTGGGAAGAGGAATTCAAGGAATTGGATCAAGTATTTATATTAGGCTGTAGCTTGTCCGAGGTCAGGAAAAGGTGACTCGTGGATACGATGATTTGAAGCTTTTTGTTGATCGAGTTGATGATGTTTTGGAGCAATGGAGTCTCGGTCAAATGCTCAGCGCTGTGCTGACTCAGCGGCCACTACGGCGGCTAATTGTGATTAGCTCAGCTGATGGCCCGTTGAGAGATAGCGAGGTGAAGATGAAGGTGAAGCAGTTGAAGCAGTTGAAGCAGTTGATGATGATGATGGTGATGGTGATACTGTTAAATCTACTCTATCTCCAATCCATTCAACACAGGCTCAATATTCTCAGATCACCAAAGTGGCACCTAAAATTCGTTCTAAACTCCCTTCGCTCGCCTAGTTCTCGGGCATAATATTCTCATTTGTTTAACACTTTTAACAGCTTTATCCAACTCGATCCGAGATTGACCAGAGTCGATTCGAGTCAATCCGTTTCAAAGTCTGGGGAATTGTGTCACATAAACAACAACAACGTCGCGTAGGTGTAGAGGAAAAGAAGCTGGATGAACGTCGGTTTAATTGGTTTTAGTACATACGTAATAGGATGATACGTGAACAAGTTGTACGTTCATATCCTTTAAGCTACATGTGGCCTATATGAATGTTCAGCTTGTTGAAGTTACGCTGATGTACATATAACCTAGGAATTAGTCGTCTTCTGCAAAACCTGTTCCTATAATTCAATTTGAAATTGCCAGTGAGAAGCTGCCTTCAGGATATGGACGAACAAACCCCAAGAGGTTGAATATTAGGACTGTATTAACTACTGCAGAAAACTGATTCCTTTTGTAATCGATGTACACGTACTTTTTGAAACCACATAGTATCAATCGTGTTCATAATGCCCTAGTATTTGAAGACAATCACTTTTCCAGTTCCTCTTATAAAATAGTAAACCCGACTAGTAACAGTTAAATCAATTCTCAAAGGGCCATTATTGGTTTCTATTCATTAGCTCTTGAATTGCTCAAAGGATTCAACAAAAGAAGAATCATCAATCATTAACTCTCTGGAACCCTATCTTTCGTTAGTTTCTCTGATATCCGTTTCTTCTCTTGTCAATTGATCTTTGTGTTCACTGGGATAATTCGTGATTCATGGCTAGTTTCCTGGGTTCATACACGGTTTTCTATTGTGTTTGTCTTCACGTAAAAGAATCACAATTTCCACAACTAAAGCATCAAAATGAACGCTGAGCTCTCCATCCATCAACAAGCACCATTTTCATCATGATATTTATTCAAATTGTTACCTTTTAATGGTTCTTTTGCCACTGATTTCAAGCTCAAAATGATTTTTCAACTTCAAATTCTGACATCAACATCAACATCACAACACCAATTTCACCATTTCCCAAATTCCTGATTCTGATAACCATTTTGTCATCAATTGTGATTTCACAAAATATTACTACAACAGAGCTATATTTCAACTTCAATTTAGAGCAAATATCATCATTGAATCAAAATCAAAAGCCATTTGTTCATCCAACTCACAAACACTTGCTGCCTTACCTTCAAAAAGGATCATATTTTAGTCAAAGAATCCATCTGAAATCATGGGGCAGTACACCAGCAGAATCAACAATCCACCACCTCGTTCATCTTCATCATCTTCCAACCATAGCTCATCTACATCCCCCACCAATCAATCACCACAGCATGAATCTACAACAGGCATCACCAACTTAAGAAGAAGGCGTTCATCTACAAATTACACGCCATCCCATTTACCTGCTTCAAGAAGAAGGAGATTACCAAGATTAAACGAATCTATACGGTTTTGGAACAGAAGAGCTTCAAACAATCATTCAACTGAATCATTAGACTCCCACAACTACAACAGTCGTGATAATCAAGATGAAGGAGATACCCATCGTCATATGAGTGCTCTTGATATTGAGATTCTGCAAAATTTGTCACATTCATCACCAGCCGGTAACAACGGTCCTTCCATATACCCATCCAACAACAACAGTGAACCTCCATCAAATACAACTACAGCACCAGCTGTACCAGGTCAAACAGAAGAAGGAGAACACGAAGGAAGGGATTCCCTGGATGTTGCTGGGTTTGCAGATTTAGCTTCTGATATTTTTTCATCAAGATCTAACCATCATAGTTATCCAAGACCAAGCAATTCACGCCAGCATTCAAGTTTTTCTTCAATACCTTCAGGCTCTTCATCAACTTCAGCTTTAACTCGTCATACTAATAGCAATAATCAAAGAACTGGCTCATCAGCTCATAATGATCAAAATAACAACAATGCAATGTCATTTGAACATCAAACTGAAATGTTGTCAAGATTATTAGAAATTGCAGCAACTTCAACAGTTATGAACTTGATGGGAAGTTCGCACGTTAATGGAAGAAGATTTGATAATACCTCCAGGATCCAATCTTCATCAAATATACCCTCAACGAGTAATAATGGTGATGATTCAAATTTTCAAGAATTTGTTAGTGCTTTGAGACATGGTTTATTAACTAATGAATTATCAAGTCGATACAGCGATGTTGATCTGAATGATCGTGATAATATGACTTTCTTCAGGGCTTTTAGATTCGACAGTGAAAACACTGCAACTGGATTGACAGGCACTGGTACAACCAATGGTGATGATTGGCCTGATGCTGATCAAGATTTAGATAATGGTCCATTCGGTTTTGGCTTACATGACCATGATGAATTTGAGGAAGGAGATGATGATTCTAACAATATGTTTGGCTCTCATTATCATCATAATCATGCTACCCCAAGAGGTGACAACAACACCAACACCAGCAATAACAATAATAATACCAACAACAACAGTGTCAATAATGATGTTGAATCTCCAAATGTACCAGTTATGATCATTGGTGTTCGTTCAGTTCAACAGAATTCATCAGATGGATTAAGTACACTGGCAACTGGCTCCACATCATCTAATGGTGCTTCTGCAACTACAGCGACAACACCAGGCACACATACTACAAATGAACCAGAGCCATTACAAGAAGAACAACCAACAAGCTCCTCTCATCAATCTTCGGGCACACCTTCTGATCAACAACAACAACAACAACAACAACAACAACAACAACAACAACAACAAAGATCATGGGTTATCTTTGTCATGGGTAATACATTTGCTTGGAATCATCCTTTACTTTCAGCACCGTCTTTAATGAGTGAGAACCCAACATATGAAGACTTGTTGAATTTACAAGAATTGATTGGGCAAGTTAAGCCACAAGTCACCACAAAGGAAGAGTTATTCAAACATGATGATCAACTTTTCAAAGTTTTATTAGATAATGCAACTCAACCCGTTTCAACAGATGATAAGCTTTTAAAGATAAGTCAGCTCGAGAGATGTCAAATCTGTCTTTCAGAATATGATGATGGTGAAGTGGTTAGGAAATTATCAAGTTGTAATCATTTTTATCATAAAGATTGTGTTGATAATTGGTTGTTGAATGGGAAAAACAATTGTCCATTGTGCAGATCAAAAGGAATTGTGAAACCAAATGGTGATGATAATATGGAGAAGGATAGTACAGGGGAAGGTGTAAGTGTTAATGCGTCATGAAATTATGGGTTTTTATAGAGTTATGTTTTTTTTGTCTCAATTGGTTCATGGTGCATGGTTATAGGTTAGAGGTTTATATAAATTGATGTTGCTTATCACAGGTACTCGATAATGATGAAAGTGTTGATGAAAGTAATTTGTTAATTAGTTTGAAAGTCATGCTACATGTTTCAGTTTTCATTTTTAGTGTATCAATGTATTATGAATTAAGTTTATAAACTGTACTGTAGCTGGTTAAAACAAGTTTAAGTTATAATCACTCTCTGGTAAGAATGAAACTAAAACTGTTCTTTCATGATACTTACGTCCATTTAATAATTTTGAAGCCCTTGATGCACCTTCTTCATTCTCAAATTTAACAAATATCTTACCTATACTTGTATCTAAACTTTTCAAATTTCTTTTATAATCTTCAGCAGGTTTCGGGATTTTAACATTCAAGACTTTCCCATATTTTGAACATTCATTAGTAATATCATTTAAAACTTCTTGATAAACAACTTCATTTTTTAATTCTTCTGGATGAACAACATTCAATAATATTAAAACATTAGTATCAATTTTCAAAGAGCCTGATTGTGCCACACTGGAGATTGTTCTATATGTAATTTCTTCTTCTTGTTTTGGTAATCCTTTAGAGGCAAAAATTGCAAATAATGTAGTTTCATTTATAACAATTTTATTGATTGCTTCAATAGCCTGATCCGCGATTATATCTTCAAATTCAACAAATGCAATACCTTTTGAATTCTCTTCATTATCAAGTAACAGATCAATTTTGGAAACATGTCCAATTTCTTGTAAATCTTGTAATATTTCATCTTGTTTGATATCATTTGGTATATTTGTTATAGCTATCTTGTTTCCAGAATCCGGTACTTTAGACTTGCTTAATTCTTCTGGTGATAATAATTTTGAGTTTGGTGTGATGTATGATTGTGGTCTATCTATTTTGATTTTCAAATGTAACTCATTTTGGAAATATTTAAAAGATGAATATAAGATAGTGGTAATATTTGAGTTTGATAAATTGATAACCAAATATTTAGATTCGATTAATTCATGTGAAACAATGAATGCATTTTCAACTTTCAGACTGTTAATGTAAGTTTTCAAATATTCAACTAATCTTTCAACAGGAAATAAAGAAAATTCAACACCTGTTATAATCAATTGTTTGGAATTTCTAGAGGATAATGATTCAATACTTATTTCTTCAAACAAAATAGATGTTTGACTGTTTAAATCACCACCACTAACTAAACCTTCTAATTTAGAAATATCAACTTGTTTAGATTCACCAGGCAATGGGAAAAGTCCTGAAATCTTTGCCCTTTCAGAACTAACTTTTTCAAACCCTTTCGGTTTCAAATCCCATAAGCTTTTTCTCTCTAGCTTATCTATTGGTACAACATTAGTTAAATCTTCATTATATGAAGCATCATCACCGTTGTTGCTATAATCTGTTGAACGTGAATATCGCTGTTGTTGATTATTAGTATTGTCATAATATCTATCACCACCTCTGGTATCTCTTTCCCTATACCTCGTTGGTCTTTCATCTCTTCTTTCATATCTGTCATCTCTGTACCTAGAGGGACCATCATCACGTCTGTTATAATCTCTTCTATCTCTTCCACTATAATCTCTTCTTTCACCATAATCTCTTCTTTCAGCGGTATGTCTTCTATCATGATGATCATTTCGATTTGGGTATTCTCTTCTTCCACTGCTGTAATGATCACCTCCTCTTGTGCCACGATAATCTCTTCTATCATGAGTTTGTCTATCATCCATTGAACGAGTCTCTATTGGTTTTTGTTCTTGTGGACTTTCCTGCTTGACTTCATTTGCTCGTTCTTCTCTTCTCGAATAGCCCGAACGATCTGGTGTGTTTTTAGTATCATCAGGTCTTCTACCATACCCACTATTGGAACTTGTAACTTCTCTCTTTACTGGCGTTTCTGATGGTCTTATAGATTCATTTTGAGCTTGCTCACGTAGCACTAAAAAAACATGTTAGTAATTTGAAAGCTTTCCACAAAATAACGCTGATACTAACGTTTCTGTTTCAAGGCCTCAAGCACATTATGAGTACTCATTTTTGGCTCATAAAATGCTTTCTCTCAACAATTTCTAATCAAAACGATGAGCTTTCTCTATACATTTCAGTTGTTTTTGCAGAATTGAACAGCGATTTTTCTCCAGGATTAGATAAGCAGCTGGTCAAACACCGGGTAAATTTCGTATATTCGCGAATTTTCCAGATCTTCGCGAACAACTTGACACTGTGTTTTTAAGTCAAGCTCAATCTTTTGCTGAAGTGTTCAATTCTATTCTGTTAGGAACTAATACAGCTGAGCATCATGAGAATAAGGAATTGTCTATGGCTACTATCACTGATATCAGTCGCATTCAGTGCTATACTAGGTATTGATTTTGGTCAAGATTTTACAAAGTCCGCATTAATAGCTCCAGGTGTTCCATTTGAAATAGTATTGAGTGCTGATTCAAAACGTAAAGAACCTTCAGGTTTAGCTTTCAAACAACTAGGTAAAGATGAAGTTGAAAGATTATATGGATCTGCTACAGCATCTCATTGCACAAGATTTCCAAGTACTTGTTTACTAAATTTGAAACCATTATTAGGAAAATCAGTTGATGATCCAGAAGTTCAACATTACATCAACTCTCATCCTGGTGTCAAGATTGTTCCTTCCAAAAATAATAGAGCTACAATTGCATTTGATGTTAATGGTCACCAATATCCAATTGAAGAAGTAATTGCTATGAGTTTTCAAAATATTGTCTCTAGAGCATCAACAACATTGAAAGAAAAAGTTCCAGGTGGTTATTCACAAGTCAACGATGTAGTGATTACTGTTCCAAGTTATTTCACTCAATCTCAAAGAAATGCACTGAAAGATAGTGCTGAATTGGCTGGTTTAAAAGTTATCGGTTTGGTTGATGATGGGTTAGCGATTGCTATTAACTATGCAACAAACCGTGAGATTGCCAACGACAAGGAATACCACATTATCTATGATATGGGCGCTGGCTCAACAACTGCTACATTAGTTTCATTCACCAAAAATTCAACCGAGCCTTTAGCAATTGAGGTTGAAGGATATGCCCATGATGATTCATTAGGTGGTTCTCTATTCACAAATGCTGTTGCAGAATTGATCAAAAATAAGTTTTTAGAAAGCCATCCAGAAATCAGAACTGATAAATTTTCATCAAATGATAGATCTTTGGCTAAAATCTTTCAAGCTGCTGAAAAAGCAAAATTGGTGTTAAGTGCCAATAATGATGCATCTGTTTCCATTGAATCATTATATGATGACATTGATTTGAGAACTAAGATTACTCGTGAAGAATTTGAAGAACATGTTAGTGATATTTCTTCAAGAATAACCAAACCAATCATTGATGTTTTACAAGCAAAACTTGTTGATGATGCCCCTGTTGAGCTTAAAGATATTAATTCAGTCATTTATGCAGGTGGTTCAACCCGTGTTCCATTTGTTCAAAAGCATTTACTTTCATTGATTGGTGAAGATTTGGTTTCAAAAACTATCAATGCGGACGAATCAGCTGTTGTTGGTGCCACTTTACGTGGTGTTCAAATTTCCAAAATGTTCAAAACAAAGGAAATGAACGTTTCTGAAGCATCAGTTTACAACTATGAAATCTCTGTTGGTGATGACGCACAAGAAATTGTCTTTTCTAAAGGTTCAAGCTACAATCAAATCAAAGAGGTTGAATTATTAAATCTGTTCAACAAATCTGAAGATTTTAGCATAAACTTATATGAAGATTCAAAGCTTTATGGACATTACGATTCATTAAATGTTGCTTCGATGGTTGAGAAATTAGACTTCAATTCATCCGAGTGTTCATCTGGCTTCAAAATCTATGGAAAATTCAAATTGAGTGAAAGTCGTATCTTTACTTTAGAAAGTGTACAAGCAAGATGTGAAGGTCCTTCATCTAATGAAGAAGAAGAAGAGAAGAAAGGTGAAACTAAAGGTGGGCTGTTTGATAAATTAAAAGGGAAAACCACAGGTAAAGATGATAAAGAGACCGAACAAAAAGTTTTGAAAAAAATTTCAACCTTGAAAGTTTCAATCCCAACAAAACTAAAATATTCATCATCAAGACCACTAGGAACTGCCACAAAACAAGAACTTAGAACTCACTTACAAGCATTAAATGCAAAAGATTATCAAAGAAAACAACGTTTTGAAAAATTGAATGAACTAGAAGCAGTTCTATACAAAGTCCGTTCATATCTTGAAGAAGATGATGTTGTTGAAAAAGGTCCAAAAGCTATTGTTGATGAAGCTTCCAGCAAAGTTTCAGAATTTTTAGAATGGTTAGATTATGATAGCGATGGTGCTACAACAAAAGAAATCAAAAATAAGACATCAGAGATCAGAAGTTATTACACCAAAATTTCAGATTACTTGCAGCAATTAGCAATTCCATTAGACTCCGAGGCTTTTGAAGCTTTACACAAAGAAGGTGTCACAGCCCTAAACTCTGTTCAAGATTTCATGTTAACTATGGGTGAGACAGCTGCTGGTTTACTTAGAAATTTTACTGAAGCCGGGCTTGATTTTGATAAAGAATCAAGAAAATTGAAATTGAAAACACCAAGCTTTAGTGAAGCTGATATCGAAAAGGCTTCAAAAGAATTGATTTCTACTTTTGAGAAAGTCAAAGAAGTTTATGAAAATCCTGAAGAACTAAGTGAATATACCAGAGAGGAATTATTTGAATTGAGAAATCAAGCATTGGAAAAAATCGAAAAAGTTGGGCTAATAAAGAAGAATTTAGAGTCTGTGCATTCACAAAGACTCAAAGAGTTGAATAGCGTCCTTTATAGATTTTACAGAGCTCAAAGAAGAGCTGCTGCCAAAGCTGCATCCAAATTGAAAGAAGAAGAGGAAAAATCGGAGGCTGAATCCACAGTTTCAGCAACAGATGAAACAACTGAATCTTCAGCTACTACAACCACAGCCTCCGGCTCAGAAGAGCCAACCTCAATAGATCATGACGAGCTTTAAACAAAAGCTTTACAAAGTAATTTAATAATCTTAGTTAATGTCGGTTATGTTTTGTAGCTATTTTTCTCTGGTTTACACACGCAAATTAAAAAAATTCGCGAATCTCAAAGTTTTGATAAGCTGGCCAATTTCTCATCAGATCCGCAATGGTATAAACTATCAATTGATCACAGTTAAACAAGAGTTCACCATAGCCAAATAGAGAGATAATGGCATCATCCACCCCACGAACGCCAAAGTCGCCAAAACCCAGTATCATAACACAGTCTCCAAGACCGCTGAGCACTCCTCAAAGTGAAAACGCTTCCAAAGGGTTAAATATTCTGCTACAGAATGCCGCAGCTAATGCAACATCAGCAAGTCCACTGAGTGCTATTTTCTTAGTCCAATTTGATGTGAAATCAGGTTATATGCTAAAGTGGAGCAAGACAGTCAGTGAAAATGTTTCATTAAAGGGGGTAGAATACAAAAGTTTACCTTCAGGGCTACACGAAGTTGAGAGAGATGTTATATCGTTTGTACAACTTCAACAAGGTGATCCTGAGCCAGAGTCTCAGCCATTTGACAACTTGCTATATGGTGTCTCAGTGTTTCACCAGAATTTGAATGAATCGGTCGGTGGTTCAAGAAACAAGGTCAAGATGTTTTCTTTAGGAATATTAGTTGACCCCTTAACTCAAGTTTATGCCAAATCTTCAGTGTCAAAATTCTCTGGGGACTTACCAACTTGGAAACCAATGCATTTCACTACTGGGTTAGAATATGTTGACCAACTACATAAACTCTTAGATGATTGGGATAATTCAAGTGAAGACTATAGCACATTTGAAGATTTCTTCGATAAACATTCCTCCAAGATTGACTTGTTGGATGTCATTGGATCAAAATCTCCAAAGGCAACGGTTCCTAAAATTGATACACAAACTTTACACAGTTCATTAATGGGGAAACATCATAGTCATCATTTTTTGTTAAATCTTACCAATTTACTTGAAGCTTTGGGTCCTTTAATTTTCAGGGTTTGGAGGTCAGCATTACTTCGAGAAAGGATTTTGCTATTTGACGCACCAAGTGTGGAATTGAATTGTTCTTTTGCCTATTGTCTAGCGATTTTATCCACTATACCACAAGAGATTCATTGGCTACTGAATGAAAGCGGTTGCTGGGCTACGTCTTCATTGCAATTCATACAACCAGTTTATTCAATAGGCGTTAATGATATTGACTGGCTGAAATCATTGATTAACTCAGATCCTGAAAATCATAGAAATACAAGTTTTATTGCTTCTTCTACAGATGAAATATTATTGTTCAAAAGCACTTTATATGATATTTCTGTTCAATTCAATCAACCACATCATGTTGCAACAAAAGTTCCCAAAGTGTTTTTGGTAGAAGCTGCTATCCCAGGATCTAAAAACACAGATCCTTTGAGAGCCACACAACGAGATTTGAAAAGATTTAAAGTATTGGCAACAGAGTTCAACTTGTGCAATGAAGATGGTGAATTAAAATGTCCAAACGCTGCAAAATTGACAGATGAAGCTGTTGATAGCACAGAAGATCCACAACAAACAACAGAATCTGATGGAGTACCGTGGTGGCAAGAAGTTTCAGAACCAGCTTCTTGGAGACAATTGGCTTGGTCTGGGTTTTATTGGTGGGCATCAGCTGGTGAAAATGAAAAAATTGAAGAGGAACAAGAAGTTGATGGCTTGAAAGAAATGGGTGATTATAATAAAAATGAGGTTGAACGTTCTTTAGTGCTTGTTGGATATTTCCAGAATTTAACCAAAAGGATTTTCACTACCATTGCAGATATTATCAACAATGAGAATGAAGAAGATTCAAAAGACAATGATGATTCTGAATTAGTTGATAAGACGATTTGGATTGAACCTGCTGATATATTTGAAATGGGATTGGATCCTTATTCTAAACAGGATGCTGAATTTGTTGTCAAATTGATTCAAGTTTGGTGGAACAGAAAGGCACAAGTTGGCTCCAAACTCTCAAATTTGTGCTGCTTTTAGTTAAATTATATACTGGAAGCACTATAATGATCTTATGATATTGATTAATAATAATACATTTACACTTGCTTAATTTAAATACAGATATATTTATTGTGTGTGCTTTTTTTTTTCCACCGAAACAACTATAGTATACACGAATTAACAAACAAATAACAAAAAACCATCATTCAAATTAACAACCAAGTTGCACTTCCGATGATCGAGAATGCAATAATACACGTTATTATTGCTGCACCAGCCCTATCACCTTTATCTATTGTCAATGGACTCAAGTTTGTACTGGATGTTTCTGTACCAGCAGCACCAGAACCATGTGAAGTACCACCAGTGTAATTGGTATATGGAGGTGGTCTGTCACGGATTCTTAAGTTTTGCATAACTTCTAAGGCAGCCATTTGTTCACCTAACCCGTAATAACCATCCCACCCTGAATGAGACCAATCTAACCCACAAGTATTACCATCTGAACCACCTGAACAAGAATTGGAAGCAGCTCTTGCTGACGCTTCTAAAAGTTTGTAAATATGGTCATAAGTTGATGGGACAAGCTGAGCAGTTAAACCAAGGAATCTTGAGAAAAATGCCTTGAAAGATCTTTGATCATTGTTACAATTCTTTGAATTTTGACAAGCAGCTTCATACATGACTGAATTGTTGAAGAAAACACTTGAACTTGATAGATATCTCTTGGTTCTATTTAACCAAATTTCATCTTCTGTGTAATTGTATAAATAAGCTGAACCTGCCAACATTAAACCTTGATTATAAGTCCATTGTAACTTCACGACAGAAGAACAATTGTCATTGATTGAAACACCATCATAAATGAAATACCAATCACCTTCAGTGATCAAACCAACACCTTCCATCCAATCATGAACTTTTTCAGCCCATTCGACATATGAATCATTTGCTGTATATCTAGCCAATCTAGCAGCTATATGGAATAAACAACCATTTGAAACGGCATTCTTATAATCATAACCAGAATTCCATTCAAAAATTTGCCATCTTAAACCACCTTGACAATGACCATCATCCCATCTGGCAGCCATTGTATTGAAAACAGCTTGTGCTAGATATAACCATTGTGGTTGGTCACTATCAGGGTTTGGAAAGTTTCTTTCAGCAGCACCCATAACAGCAATACCCCAAAACCCTTGATCATCATTACCTTCAGTTGTAGATTGATTTAAAGGGATATAATTCCAATTTTCACCAGTTTGTGCCAATAAAGCTTGTTTTGTGATATCTAAATATGTATCGTTTTGCATGAAGTACCAGAAATCAATCATTGATCCCCATGCACCACCGGCTTCCCACCAATAGTATGGGTTGGCAAACATACCAATAGGTTTACCATATTGAAGACCTGTGTAATAATTGAGTAAACCATCAGCAACGATACCTGTGACTTCTTTCAAATTGGTTAAATTGTCTGGTGTCAACCAAACACAAGAGACGCAGCCAAGCAAGGAAACAAGAATTGTTGAGTGAGAAAAAACACTTAACTTCATCTTGGAGAGTTCTTGACTATTGTGTGAGTGAGTGTGTCTATTACTGTCCTATTCTCTTTTCAAATATGGACTAAATTTCAAGGGTTTTTTTTAGTGTGTTAAATTTCTTGATGTATTTCAAATCTCTATCCTGACCCTTTTCTGACAGACGAAAAAAAAAGTAAAAACTCTATTGTTCTCTGACTGTATCACGTTCAACGACTGAAATTTCCTGATTTGTATAAGTATGGACAAAGTGAGTGGATTAGCCCTTTATCAGCTGCCCTTAAAATGGATTAACTGAGGTTGTAAAGCTGCTCTCAAAAAGGTTTTCTTTGTTAATTGGGTCTTTCACGTCTCTCAAATAAAAAAAAAAGCTTTCTTGATCTGAAAAAACGCGAATTTCGGCGTGGGCCACACCTCGGCTCAGCGTGTTTTGCGCAATCTCAAAGCCAAAAATAGACAATTACCAATTACAGTAATGACATTGCCACTTTGGCAGACAAGCCTCCCAATTTGGACATAATCGCGCAAACCTTGCAAAATGGCAGTTTTTTCTTCGCGAATTCATTTCATCGTAAAAAAAAATAAACACAATTAAGAACATAAAGATACTATTATTATCGTTTCAAAACTCTTTCAAAGACCCGATTCTTTTCACTTTACTACAAAATGTCTGAAAGAAAAGTGATCAACAAATACTATCCGCCAGACTATGACCCTTCAAAGATCATCAAGAAGAAGAAAAAAGTGAAGACCGGTTCTGCAAGTTTGCAAACAGTTAGATTGATGACACCATTTTCAATGAAGTGTCTAAACTGCGGTGAATACATTTCCAAATCAAAGAAGTTTAACGCTAGAAAAGAAAACACAAGTGAGAGTTACCTGGGGATGAAAATTGTGAGGTTCCATATCAAATGTCCAAGATGTGCTAGTGAAATTTTGTTCAGAACAGATCCTAAAAGTGCTGATTATGTTTTAGAATTTGGTGCCCAAAAGAACTATGATTCAGGGAATACCAATAAAATCATGAAAGAAGAGACACAAGAGGAGACGCTTGAAAGATTAGAGAAGGAGGAAGAGGAGGCCAAGAGAAAAGAATTGGAAAAGGATAAGAAACAAACTTCGTTAGAAGAATTAGAGGCAAAATTGAATGATATCAGACATCAGCAAGAAATTAGTGAACAAATTGATGAGATAAGAGAGCGTAATGCCAAAATTAGTGAGAGAGCTACAAACGCTGAGCTACAGAAAGAAATCAAGGAGAGAATGAGAAAAGCCGCAACAGAGAGATTGGTTCAAGAGAATGAAGAAGATGAAAAGCTTGCAGAAGCAGCATTTAAAAAACAACAACCAGAATCAAATGCTACACAAGATGGGTCAGATGGCAGTGCTGAAGTTGATAACACATATACAAATAAAGAGGCCAGCTCCGGATCAGAGTCAGATTCAGACTCTGATAGTTATTCCCAACCTTTGTTTTCCAAAAAGACATCAGTCCCTCAAAAAGTTGTAATGAAAAGGAAAAATAATTCATTGGGAATTAGTGTCAAGAAATTGAAGAAATGATATTGATCGGTTCATTCAAGCTTGCACCAGTCTCTTCCGTGATCTACTTGATAATTACAAAGGCTTGGTTCTAACCAAAGCCCAATCAATGCAGATACCACTATACCTCCAGAATCACTCATTGACGTTGCTCCAAGTGAAAACTCTCGGTCAATTTCTGGAATGGTGTCGATTATTAGCATAAAGGTATTGACATAAGCTGCACCTCCTAATAATCCTTCATAAAACACCAGCAACATTATTATATAGACATTAGGAATGAAATAATAAAGGGATTGCAAGATCAACAATATCAAGTTGAATGATTGTAGGATTGATGGGATGAACAGATATCTTATTCTGACTATTGATGCTGAAGATCTTGAAATGAAAACACCTAATTGATACAAAGTTCCATAAGCAACATAAACATCTCTAAACTTGCTGAATGGTAATTCCTCTAATGGAAATAGCAACGTTGGTGAGACTGATTGATTAATCAAATATTCTGACAAGTAAACTGTTGATAAAGGAATCATGAATGGGACAATGAGCTTTTTCAACCTAGCAATAGTTTCAGATACATGGGTGGCCAGATTAAATTTGTTTGGTTGATTCTCCAAATCTGTGATGTTTCGTTCGTGAATTGTTTCATAAGTATGAACTGGTGGTAATCTGAAATAGTATAAAAACCCTAACGGGAAGATACTAAACAAGAGTAATGAAGACTGAACCCTAATTCCCAAAATTGTAGTTAACAACAAATAAAATCCACTACCAATCAAGCCAGCACCACCAGTTCCTGAGCTCCAACCGTTAAGACCATTTTCTTCATAGAAATGGGTCAATTGTAGAAATGTTATCTCTCCCAATCCCGAACTTAATGAAGCCATGATTATGCCAAATATTTTGAATTGAAGCGTACCAAATGTCACCAAAAGCATTCCAGAAACACTCAGAACTATCAATGATGCAATTCTATGAGGATATGCAATAAAATGGATAAAGAATGGAGCTGATACCTTGATTAAAAACGCTGGTAGAATGTCTGCTAAAAGAACAGTAGCTTTAGGCACCAAAGGACCTACAAGATCCACAGCAGCTGAAAGAATCACCACATAAAGAACATTATTTAGCAATCCAAAGAGCCAGAATGAACAGAACACTTTGTTGAGTGCCATTGTCTTCACGGGTACGTTGATTGTTGATGTTTACACGAAGTGAATTTCTTATCGCGTGAATTTTTCTTTAAAATTCCTTCACGGATATTCACGGATAAGTTAAACATGGACTACTTTAAACGTGTAACTAACTCATGCTATTATGAATGTACATATATTTCATCTTTTTAAGGCCTCAAATCTTTTTCTCAATGCATCCAAGTCATCCTTCTCTTTGGAAGAGTTCTTGAGCCCAGCATCACTGGTACGTTTTTTCTTACTGACATTTTTTTGCAACTCATCTGGGATCTTAACAGTTGGATGTGGGTTATCACTTGATTTATGTGGTGGTCGCACTGAAATTGGTGACTTTTCTGCTTCATTTGGATTTGGTAGGCTAGCAGCTGAAAGCTTTCTTGGTGTAGAGATTCTTTCTTCTGGATAATCTTCGATTGGCTCTTCAAGTTGTATAGGTTTCCCTTCACCTCCATTACTTTCATCATCGTCATCATCATCATCCTCATCGTCTGCTGCTTCTTCAGCTTCCAATTCACTGAATGGGACATCATAAGCTTTGGCAATCTCTTTCAAGTATAAAGATACCAATTCTTGTGAGGGTGCTTCAACGGCTGTTCTCTTTGTGATTTTCTCAGGAATGACATTATCATCATTTTCAATAGCAGCCCGTGCAAATTCTGCACCAAACTTGTGGATTAAAAGGTCTCTAACTGTGTGCATTTCCTTCAAATCCGTATGGGATGCAGAGTATATGATTGTTTTGACAGCTTCTTCTAATCCCGGGTCGCATTCTTTCTTATCTAATAGTCCAATCCTTGCTAGCAATAATTCACAGTATAGCTCAAGCATCTCTAGAAGCTCAACATAAATATCTTCACGGACAATATTTTCGACTCTTATCTTTGCACTTTCTTCTTTTCCTAATGACAATAATTCAGCCATCTATAAATTGTGTTAGTGAGAGAACAGAAACAATAAAGAGATCCTCTGGAGCATACCTGTCTTCTTTGTTGTTTAACAAGCGCCAAACGTTTAGTCTGAGTAAATCTCAGCTTACTTATAGCCATTTTTAATGTGACCTTGAGCCTTCCCTTTAAATAGATTTGTTAGAATTTAGGGGTCAAACTGAACTGATAAGGAGGCAACACTCACTTGTGACGAGATAACAGGAGCCATTTTCACTAAAGCTGTAGATAAACACTCTTAACTCAATGGTAATAATTGATTATAATTATCCTTCTTCAATCAATTGTTGTTGAAATCTTGTAGTTCGTCGCCCCAATCTAACTCTGGAGTTCAGGTCAGAATTATCAAAACAAAAAAAATCGCGAATAGTCAAAATTACATAATGGATTAGTCATTAATCGTATTTGTTATATTAACATCAAATAGTTAAATATTCCTCCATAATCTTGTTTGACAGCTTGGTATTTCCACTGCTGTTGTAAATCAATATCAAGTTATAAGCGGTCTGTCTCTTCAAGTCATTTTCCGCGTCCAAGTCATCAAATTCCTCCAATACCTTATTATAATACTCAACAGCAATTGAAAAAAGACCCAATAAATGGTAAACTCTCCCTAAATTATATAGAGCTTCTTGATGCTCCAAAGGACCAAACTTTGATGATGTACGTAGCTCAAAGTATTCCATGACATATTTTAATCCTTGAAGGAGCTCAAGATGACGGTTTGTTGAAGATCTTTGCATTGATCTATGGACATGAGCTAGACCGGCTAATAAACAAATCATTGGTTCATTTTTATAGCTTTTGTAGATTCTGGTGAAGTAGACAAGACTTGGAACATAACTTCGATTTGTGAAAAGCAAACAAGCATAAATGTACATCAAATAAGTATTATCACTTCCATTCACTTCAACTTCCTTGTTGGTGATGTTTGCCATACCTGTGATTGATCTTTTTTGGTTCAACGAGTCATAAGCTTTGACTTGTCTTAAGAAATACTTTTGATGATTAATTGAAATAAAGTTTTCTGTGCATGCCTTACCTGATGGTTGACACAGCAAAAACAACTTGAGAACCTTTTTGTTGAATTGGAAACTGTTCAATATGACTCTTAGTGATAGAAGCATATCTTTATGATCTTGTGTCCTTATAGATATAGCTAGTTTGACCAAGTTCATTACTTCATCACGATCTTTGTTCTGGTAGAACACATTGACATTCTTAGCACTATCAATTATACTATTAGCGTCATTTGGATTTTCGTATCTAGCCACTGCAAGTGCATATTCCATAAATAGTTCAAACCATTGGTCATACTTCAACCCTCTAAACTCCTCTTTAGATGTTAACACCAACTTTTCTTCAACTTTGGAGGTAAATCCTTCATATAGCTGAGAAATTCTCTCAAGTTTAGAGTCAATGTCCATCTGTAAGTTTCTTGTTCTTGTAATGATACCTTTAAATTGCCTAGATCTATCTTTTGGGAAGAAATTTTTGACATTAGAGAAGATTTCAATCAACTCTGAAGCTAACTGAATCCAAGTGGTAGCAGCAACATTATCACCGGATTCCAATCCTTGATGAAGTCTTTTTAATCTTTGATACTTCTCAATGACATTTTGTTTCAGTTTATTATCTCTTTCTTGCTTCTCAGCTTCAGTAAGTCTATACCCCCTTTTTGGTGGTTTGTTTATTTTATTTTGAATCAACGCTTGGTCATCTGCATCTTGGACTGGTTCTGCTATTTGTTGTTTTGTAACATCGGACAGATTGTGTTCTTCCGTAACTGCTTTTCCAGATTCCTTCCTTCTGCTTGTAATAGACTCTAATAAACTTTGAGATTCTTCAACTTCTTCCAAATAATATAATACCTCAACTAAGGCTAGTTGGATGTCCATGTTACCTGGATCCATCTCCAAGGCAATGTTATAATATTCCTTAGCATCTTGGTATTTACCAAGCTCAGTAAAGCACCTCCCCAATGAAGTGAAAAGTTCAGGTATATGGAAATCTTCTAGTCTGCTTAGCGGTACATAAAATTTAACAGCATCACTAAATAGTTGAGCACCTTCCAACTTAGTACCTGCATCAGAAAACAAATCAGCCATCTCAGTGATATCCTCATTAAGTAAGAAACCAAAATGAATCAATGCTTCATCAACGTGGTTTAAGCTTAATCTCAAAGATGCAAGTTTCACTCTTATATCAATAGGTAACTTATGAGATCTTGTTTTCAGAACATCAGCTAAAGCTTCAAATTTTGCGTTTTCATATCTTCTTTCATCGAACTCAGAGTCATCGGTAACATCTTCCCAAAATTCTTCATCTTCTCTTCCTTGAATCCAACGAGCAGCATGCTTGATTGTTCTAATTGCTATTGCATAGTTTTTTTGCTTCACAAACAATTCAGCAAGGATATTTAGTGAGGACCAATCAAAAACTGGAAATCCACGAGACTTGGAGTCAGCTTCATCTTCAGAATCGTCAAAAGAATCATCTTCATTGGATTCATCTCTGATTCTTTTTGTAACATTTTTTTCAAATATCATCAAGTACATTGCGATAGCATCATTAACTCTGTTCAATTGAATGTAGATGAGAGCAAGTTCACGAACAACTGATGATTTAGAAGGATGAAGTTTTTGCAATTTTTGAAGCCCTTCAAGCGCTCTTCCTAATTGACCAGTTTCTCTATAAAGTATCGATCGCTGTAGAAAGACGTCAAATGATCTGTTCTTAGCACTGATGGCTCTTCCATAACAATAAATAGCTTGAGTTGTGTGCCCAAGGTCCCTACTTGTTCTTGCAACAAATGCCCAGTAGTCACCATCCAAAGGGTTCAAGTGTGCAGCTAAGAACCAAGCGTTACAACTTTTATTCAACCTATTTTGACGATAATAAATTTCACCCAAACTCTTGTATGCTGAAAAGTTTCTTGGGTCCTTTTTTATAACCTCCTGATATATTTTTTCTGCTGCATCATAATCACTACCGACAAACATCTCATTAGCACTGGATAGCAGCATAACAACTTCAGGGTCTAACTCTCTTTGTGGTCTAGCTCGTGGTCTCTTTTTATCACCTCTTTTCTTCTTTCGAAAATTGTTGGCTTCTCTAACAGCATCCATGAAAGCTTCTTCAGTGTCTTCTTCATAAGACAAGTTACCATCATCATCTGAAAATTCAGCAGCAAGATCAATGTCTTCGGGATCCACATCATCTTCGTCATCATCCTCGTCATTTTCTGAAAAGATTATTTGTTCTTCATTATCGTCATCATTATCCTCACCAATCATAGCCCTGACATCAATTTCATTGTAAATGTCTTCATCTGAGTCATTAGGGTATGATACTTGGGAGTGATCCCCCTCATTCACAGCTGGCATTTCGATAAGATTGAACAGACCGTTGTGAAGCTAATCAACAATCCAATTTCCATCCCTTTGTTTATTTTTTTTTCCACAAACGCGTCTTGGAAAAAATTCGCGAAAAGGAAAAATTCGCGGATTTTTGCTGTCACTTTTTTTTGCCGAAGTGGCAATTTGAAGAAACCCAAAACAACCTTCTGAAAGACAAAGATAATAAGAACATAATCAACAAAAGAACCCATAATGGTTAGTATATATCTTATAAGGCCCAATTGACACATTATATGCTAACCACTCACTAGTTTTCAAGCTTTGGTGGCAGTAACTTTGGATTTCAACCTGGAACTTTTGGGGGATTTGCTAATATTCCTCAAAACTTTGAAGACTTCTTCAGATGTTACCCAATCGCAATGATGCCTGACGACACTAGAAAAGATGATGCTAATTTTGGTGGTAAGATATTTCTTCCTCCAAGTGCTTTAAACAGATTGACAATGCTACATATTAGATATCCCATGCTTTTTGAACTTTCCAATGAAGAGAATGGATTAAAGACTCATTCAGGTGTGCTAGAATTTGTTGCTGAAGAAGGGAGAGTCTACCTGCCTCAATGGATGATGAGCACACTTAAATTACAGCCAGGCTCCATCATTAAAATTACAAATTCAGATGTTCCGTTAGGAAAATTTGTTAAAATTGAACCACAGTCTGTTGACTTTTTAGATATATCAGATCCAAAAGCTGTTTTGGAGAATGTGCTTCGAAAGTTCTCCACATTAAGTTTGAATGATATAATAGAAATTAGTTATAATGATAAGATTTTTGGAATCAAAGTGTTGGAAGTGAAACCAGAATCAGCATTTAACAGTATCTGTGTTATTGAAACAGATTTGGAAACAGACTTTGCGCCTCCGGTAGGTTATGTTGAGCCAGATTACTCAAAAACTGCAACTCCTGGGTCAACAAAATCAGCTACACCAAATCCAGGAAGAACATTAGGAACAATGGCAAAATCAATTAATTACAAGGAGCTTGCACAAAAAGCAAGTCTTGAACAATCTTCATTCAAGGGGGAAGGTCAAAAATTGTCAGGCCGTCCTTCAAAGAACAAGAACGATGTGAAGAAACTTGATGAGCTGGATATCAACTTAGATGGACCACCAGCCCCATTGAACTTACCAGATGGTCAGCTTTTTTTTGGATTTCCTGTCGTTCCCGTACAACTGGATGAAGAAGACAAGGAGAACATCATTTCTAATAGTGCATTTGCTGGCCAAGGTCAATCGTTAAGGCAGAGTAAAAAGAGAAAAGACCTCAAATCACATGCTAGCCCTAAACCTAAAGTCCACAGTCCTGAACTGATAGAGATCGATTGATTAATAAAGTTTTTACATGTACCAATATCATTGTAAAACATCATCTATTATTTCCCTATTGTACTTTTCTTACTGACAACTCTCATCAATGACAAGGGTAGTTCATTATCTTCGTCACCTTCTATCTCACCATCAGTGTATTGCCCAAGGGATTTGGTTCTAGTCAAATCACCACGAACCCAAGAGCCTATTGAATAGACTCTTTTTCTGAATCCATTTGACAACTTAGTAGCATTGCTATCAACGGATTTCCTGGATTTCGACGATACGCCTGTATTCACTAACGCAATTGGATTTACATCATATTCTTCAACAGATGATGCCGAGTCATTAATATCATCCTCGTCTTCCACTGGAGTTGTTGCATTACCTTTGTCTTCATCTTCATGACCTGTAACCATATCTTTATATCCCCTTGCGGCTTTGGCAGCATAATCTGAATACAAGGAGCGACTCAAGAACCCATACTTGAACTCATGAACACCAACAAGTACTTTAATCAGTTCAACGAGCTCTTCCAGATAGTCAATAACTTCTTCAGTTGCTGAGCTTGAAGCATTCCAACTCAAAAACTTTTCTTTCAAAAGATGTTCTCGATGAGAGCTATCGGGTCTATGACCATGACCACGGAATTCAACAAAAATTTGAGAATCACCCTCGCTATCTGAAGATTCATTATTTTCTTTTTTAATAATTGGATATTTTTCTTGAACAACTTCTGTAACCTTTTTTATTAACCTTTGTTGCGCAATTTTGGAGCTTGGTAAGTATTGAGGAAGCGGAGCTTTGGTCATCAAGGCGCATTGAACTGCTCTCAAGTTATTGTTGATTGAAGCTGTAACTTGTCTTCGATAAGGGAAAACAGTGGAATTAAATTCTTCAATAATAGCTGAACCATAAACTTTTCTCAACAATACAATATTGTCCATTCTATCTAGTACTTCTCTGAGAATGAAAATGATCTCATAAAAAACACGTTCAATGTCTTGATAATTTCCTTTCAACCTTGGTTCCTTTCTTGCACTTCCTCTGTAAGCATCTGCTCTTGTTAATGCGGACTTTGCAGTGGCTGATAGCTTTTTGTAGTTTTCATATCTCTCTTCAGTCATACTAAGTTTTGAATCTTCACCATTTAAACCAACTGCATAAATCAATTGCAGCTTGGCAATCATTCCAATAGCATCTGAAACCTCATAAATCAACTCATCTCTCGCTTTTATAGGGAAGATGATAAGCTGACAGATCAAAGCCACAGCACCACCATAAATCATGGCGAGACATCTTTTTCCAAAATTCTGCAAAATGGAACCCCCAATTTCAGACGGCAATGCTGAAGACAACAACACAATATAAATAGAAATGATACCAATGATAGCAGCTTTCACATATGGAGTACCAAGAAAATAATAATATCCAGGAATAGCACCAAAAATTGTTACAATAGTTTCCAAATATGGATTTGTCTGATTTATTGCAGCAACATATGACAAATATCCCCAAGCTGCTCCACTTATGACACCAACACCTCTCAAGAAGAACACAAAAAAAGTACTACCAACCTGCGGCTCAAGAACAAGAATACAAACGAAACCAATCCAAGTTCCTCTAATATCAACGTACCATTCCCTTGACTTTGGTATGAACATTGGGAACGAAGCAACCATCAAACCAACAGTAATTTGGATTCCAAACCTAAAATGAGGCTTAAATTTTTCATAAAAGGCTAGAGAATTCACAATAATCTTATCAAAGTAATTGTGGTGTATTGTTTGTTTCCTCTTAGCAGCAACATTTTCGAAAAATTCATTTTCTGTGGACATTGATTTACGACGAGGTCTATCATCATCACCGAGATAAATTTTGGACTGTGTATCACCATTCAAACTTGCAGTCTCATTAGCATTAGCAAGATCATTACTATTTGCTGAAAACCAGCCTTTTAGCTGGTCACTAGAAGTCAAAAAGGAAAACCAAACTTTTCTCCCAAAGAAACCCTTTCTTTCTTGAGTTAAACGATACTCATAAATCAATTTTGTTTCTTTCATGATATTACAAACAGCATTTGCAGTTTCTTTCAAATTCATCAAAAATGAAGATAATAGAAACATATCATCATTTGGTGAAAGATAATCTTCATACTCTGTATTGAGATTATCAAGTTCTTTTCTAAAAGTAATATCAAATTCAGCCATTGCTCTTGCAAGCGTATTGATTCTAGCATCAAAATCTTCAGATTCGAGATCAAAATCTTGTAGTTCAATACTTGGTGATTTTGAAATTGAAGAGAAATCCACGTCATATGATTTTGCAATACCAACCTTGATAACATATAGACTATCCGAAATGACTTTTTGGAGCTCAAAAATTGGAATCCGAGCCCTTTCCAAGACTGTAATTAGCAATTTATTATCATTTTCACCTTCTGTTGTGCTGTTGTCGTTCAATAATGTGAACTCTAGTTGTGAAGCATTGATCAAAGCACTCACATAAGACAATTGTGACTTCAAAACCTCAATTATATTTCTCAATTGAGCAGGTGAAAGATATGAATACGAGATTTCATACATACACTCCTGTAAAACGGCTTGAGTAGAATTCAACTTGGCTCTCAAAGACTGTTTCTTTTTTGTTAATTGGGCCAACGAAGGGCATTCAACCTTGAATAGTGAAGTGTCATTTCCAACAGATATAAAGAACTGGACAGTGGAGTCTATTGTACTGTGTAATTCATTTAAGGTTATTATCATTGATCTACCCAAATATGAAGATCCAAATTCTGGAAAAATAAGTAGGTTGCAAGCTAATGATATTGCAATACCCAAAAAGAAAGGGATGGTGAAACTTTTAGCAATCGTTCCAGCATCTGTTTTCAGATTATCCATAAATGTGAAATGAACCACCAAAAATAATGGAAAAACCATTGCAAAGAATTTGTGAGATATACTTCTCATCCAACCATGAAAGAACAGCATAATGATTTCAAACACAGCCAATATGGCAAGGGCTGTTCTGTAATTCTGATAATTCTCAACTTTTTGTAATTTGTCAACCAAATGGAGCTTCTCAGGAGTGAGGGCCTTTTGAGCTAGGAATCTACCTAGCAGGGCATATGAATTACCTAATAGAAGCCCGGAAATACAGAATATAACAGCTTCTATCATTGTACCAAATCTTCTTCCAGGGTGAACCATGACTGAAATTAACGGCAACATTGCAGGTTCATCACCTAATACGTCAACAACTTTGGGTATCAAGCAGAATATCAAAGCAATAGTTGAGTTAAACACACATTTGAATATTCTTTGAGCCAAAATTCTATTGGGCAGCTTTTTTGAAATTGACCTTAATAATGAGGACGTTATTTGTTGCATTTTAACTTATACCATATCCTGCAATAATTGTGTGAAAATGTTTGACAAGGAAGGAGATTTTTGAACTACCTGTAAGATACAGTAGCAAATATCTGCCTCGACGAGTAGGGTTCTAGCTTTTGATGTACAGATCCAAATCAAAAGGGTTCAACAGCTTTAGATACGATGATTCATTTCAAAACTTCCAAGAAAAAAACACACTATTCGCGATTCGCGAAAAGTCCGGTTTCAGCATTTGCAAAAAAAAAGTATCAGGTGATAGATTGCGTCATTTTGCGGAGATAGGTATCGAACAAGTAATTCCAAGTTCCCTTTTCGTGACCTTGCGAATATTTTGCGGCTTCCCCTTAGCGAAAACTCCCTTTATGGAAATGTCGAAACAAATCCAACAGCCCCTTGATAAGAAATGTGACTGCATCAAGGAACAAGAACCATGAAAGGATTTGAAAAGTTCATTTGAATTAATCCTTCTTCATACTTCACCTCGATCAGGTGAAAACATAGCTAGAAAATGACCAAACATTCTAAAAAGCCCAATGTTGGTTCAATAAGACCTACTTCGGCTGATTCAGAAGATGAGTCGACGTTGGTTTACTTAGATAATGAATCATCATCCATAATGTCAACCACTTAAATCAAATCATAATACTCCAATTAGTCCATCAAAAAGAAAGCTGGAATTCAAAGGTGAATATGGGTCGTCAGAACGAGATAACATCGCTGGGCCTTCAAAGATGTCCAGAAAGGACAAATACAAGCTGAAAAGATTACAGAAAAGGGAGAAGAAGCCAAATTATAATGCTCCAGGTAGTCCATCAAAAAAAAAGCTTGAACTCAAAACTGATGGATTTCCAGAACAATATAATATCGAGCCTCCAAATATGTCCAAAAAGGACAAGTACAAGTTGAAAAGATTACAGAAAAGAGAGAAAAAGAAGTTTTATTCAAAAGCAAATGCTAATGAAGATAAGGGACAGGAAGGAAATGTTCCCAAAGCTTCTGCTTCATCCTCATCACAAGAATCCAGTGGAGTCATTGAGCAGGATGCTGGTCCACAAGAAGACTTAGAGTTGGCTGAATCCAAAGTTGAGGCCCCAATTCCAAACCTTGGGTCTTCAAAATCAGAGAGTGTTACCACTAATGAACTTAACGGCTCAAGCTCTATGAAGAAAAAAAAGAAGAGATCAAAAAACAAAAGCGGTCCCTCTGCTGAAATGCCAGTTGCAGCCGATGAAGAGACTCATTCTGTTACTAAGATTGAAAAGTCATCTGTTAGTTTTGAAAAACGCAAAGAGAATGAGTTAGAAGATCAAGTTAACGGAACACCAGAATTATTTGACTATGGACTAGAGGCTCAAAGCAATGATATAGGGCTAGAGATATTTAGTAGGGGTGGCCAAAGCTGTTATTCCTGGCTAGAAATACTGAATTTAGGTCGCCATCCAATTGTTGATAATCAACCGGTCAGCTCTACGATAGTTCAAAATCAAAGAAGTACTAGTATTCAAGCATATAATTCAGATATCAACGACACTCGTACTGATGGTATATTTTACAAGTCAATCAGTGCTAGGGAGGCCTCAAAAGCTATTGCTGATATGTTAAGCCTCAACCCCATTAAAGCTTATGACAGGAACATGATCATTATTGACGGCCTGAATGTTGATGAGATAAAAACATACCCGGGCTGCCACCTATGCAAGAGAGGTTTGGTCACAATTCGGAATTCAGGTCATACAATGAGTTGTTCCTATAATGGAACAGATGAACACCCCATAAAACGCTTCTACACACTCAAATTAACAGCCAAACTAACTACTCCTAGTTCAAGAAAGTTCAAGTTTGATCTTGTGGGCTTTGAAGAAATAGGAGAATTACTTTGCAAGGTTTCAGCTGACGAATTTGAACGAAACTCATTATTTATTCCAAGATACATCATGCGTCTTAAAAGAGATTTGAAAGATCAATTTGGCAATCAGGGGCTTAATATTATATTTCTTTTTAGGCCTAGTGGGTTACAGAAGAGTCAAATGGAATGCGTCCTTACTGGCTTCACTAAAAGGGTACGGTGATCTAGCTTAGTTTGAGCTTGGTTTTCTGACTTGACGCTTTTTAAAGAAAAGTAATTGTCGGACCATCTTAGAGACATTGAGTCTGTTTGTATTTCAAATCATTAAATTATAGCTTTGGTTGAATAAGCATTCAATCGAACACATCATATCACCATGTACACAACTGTAAGAATATGAGCCACCGTGATGGCAGAACCAATTGAGCTATTAAGAGCTTTTTATTTGTAGAACTTGATTTGATTTGCTTTTCATAGATTTTAATGTAGAAAAAGGTCAATGTTGAGTCTTGACATTTGTTTCTCTCATGTCATCCTCAATCAGAGGTCTGAATCAAACACCAACTTTGAACAGCAATAGCTCAAAATAGATTGTAGCAACAGAGCCTCCCACTTCAGCGCATTATTATTGGTGTCGACACAGTTCGCTCTATGACGAAGCTAGCTATATCTACCTCAACGAGTAGAGCCCCAGCTTTTGATGTACAACTCCAAATCAGAAGGGTTCATTCAACAACTTCAGATACGATTTTAAAACTTCGGAGAAAAAAACATACGGTTCGCGAATCGCGAAAAGTCCGCTTCAACAGATGCAAAAAGAAATATCAGGTGACATATTGCGCCATTTTGCGGATATAGGCATCAAACAAGTAAGTCAATGTTCCCTTTTCGTGATATTGCGAATATTTTGCGGCTTCTCCTTAGCGAAAAATCCAGTTATGGAAATGTCGAAACAAATCCAAAAACAACCGTTGATAAAAAATGTGACTGGTCATAAATAATCAACGAACAAGTTCCATAAAAAGATTTGAAAAGTTAATTTGAATAATCCTTCTTCATACTTTTCCTCAACCAGGTGAAACCATAACTAAAAAATGCCGAAACATTCCAGAAAGCCCCAAGTTGGTTCAATTAAACCAAGTACTCCTGTTGTATCAGATGCTGAGGAGTCCATGGAAGATCAATTGGAACATGAGAGCCCTAGCGATCTTGAATTCGCATCTCCTGCTAAGACAATAAGCAGCTCAGCTGCACAACAGACGAGTCCTTTGAAGAAGAAGAAATTGGATTTCAAAATGACTAGCCCAGCAAAGCTGTCAAAGAGATCTGAAGATAAAGTGGAATTGGAAGCACTGGAAGGCTCTAATGTTTCTTGTGCTACTGAAGACGAGCCAGCAACAGCTGTTGGAGAAACCAGTACTACAGGTGGTTCTGAAGAAGAAGAGAAAAGGAGAAGAAAAAGAGAGAAAAGAGAGCGAAGGGAGAGAAGAAGGCTAGCAAAGGCTGCTTCGAATAATCAAGTTCCAGCTCCAGAAACCTCAAGAGATTCCATTGTTTCATCTAAAGAACTATGCGGTGCTGAATCAATCATCTCTAATGATACGCAGATGGAAATTGTGGAGCTGCAGGAACCTACTGACAAAAATGGCTCCTCGTTGATGTCTCCTGAGACTGCTGCCACTCAAAAGCACAGGTCTACTAATGCTGAGCATTTGATTGATAATGAAAAGGCTTATGAAATCATCCTTAGAGGTCAAGCGATGAGAGAGTATGATCCTCATTTTGTCGAAGTGGAAGGGTTGAAAATTGATGGTATCTTCACATACATTGGCTGTGCTTGTTGTAGAAGAGGAGAGAAAACTATCAGGTCTAAAGAGCATGCGAACAGTTGTGCATATCGTTTTCAGCAGGACAATTGCTTCAATAAGAAACTTGTACTATAGAATTTCAATTACTTTTCATCTAAGCGATGTGTCATTTCAAACAATCGGGTTTCAGAACATCGGGATGAAATTATTCAAGCAAAGCCCAGAAGATTTTGATGCATTGAACTCAGGAGACCCAGAAGCTACCATGGCTTTGAAAACTGAAGTGGAGAATAAGATAAATAGTCACGATGGGGAACTTCCATTACTTGAGGTCCATTTTAAACGCTCTTATTATAATCTTTTTGACTCTGAGGAATGGGATTGCATCCTAGATGATATTTCAAATTTGGGTTCTGACTTCTAACTGATCGGTTGAGCGCTGTGTTTTATTATTGATTATGGGTCTAATACAACTAATTTTCAAGTTTCAATAAGTATAAAATAATTCACGAACAACGACAATATTATTATTATTATTAACGATCATGAAAAATCAATATTGTATCATTTATGACTAATTAGAGTCTAGAGCCCGACCCAACCGTGCATGTGTAGCGAAACCCCTTTTGCATACCACATTGCAACTTGCAAGTAATTTAACCAATAGCCAAAATGCAGGGTTTTCAAAAGCCAGATGAGGCGAAACCAAGCCTAAGACCCACTTGAAAACCAATCACAGTAGGCACCAGTTCCTCATGATCAAAATCTCGAGCATGATTGATCAATACTCACCTTGAAGCTTCAGTTAATCAATTCTATTCAGTACCTATAGAGTTCTTGTTAGTATCATATCCTGTTATCAAGTCAAATCAAAGCAAATTATCAGCTCACTTCAAATAAAATGTTGTTATCATTATAAGTATAATTTATCATTCACCCAGCATTAATAGCACTTTCCAAAATCCCAAGCTACCAGAACCAAATAGTATCAACCATCCAAGTCAGTCAGCTATACCAACACCTAATGAGCAAACTAAAGCGAAAGAGAGTTACTGTTAGTCTCTAGTTGTGTTTTGCAAAAAACATACCTCCATAGTGTCACAAATATCAAATTAAGGCACACATCGAACTCATCAGCATCTCTGGTCACTAGGTTAGTATTGGCTTCAAAACGAGGTGTTATGGGACCTACTTTGTTCTCTGTTCAAGTGTTTTCACCTAAACCTTGATGACACTTGTGGTATGAAAGAAACAAAAGAATAAAGGAAGAAAAGTGGAAATAGTGCCCACTGCCCTTTAATAATCCAGTTATCTTTGGAATGTTTCTTGTGAATAGTGGTCCAATTGTTATCCATTTCTATTGGAGGTGGTTGTTTGTGTACTGCGTTTTTGTGGTTTTTATTCGTTACCACGGTTGTATTAGTAGTGAAATTACATCATGTTTACATGATGGAAATTTTAAAGCGCGTCTTACGCATAAGAACAACATTAACTAAACCAAAAGAACACAACTTTACAACCATAATACGTTGTAGCAAATAATAAACACCATCTTATTCTACGGTCCAAAAGCTTCCAAAAGAATCCTTGATTGGAAGAATTTGGGTAACTTTCGAACAAACACGAAGCTTGTACCATGGTTAACTGTGTATAGGGTAGTTTCGTTTGTGAATTGTTCAGTTTCAAATATGAAGATTCTTTGATTTATGTCTATTTCATCTCCAACTTTCAGCTGTTTTAACGGTAGCAATTTTAATAGGTCAACTGAGCTCAGTATTCTTTAATTCTTAGTCTTTGAGTAGTTGTTACGCATTTTCGCGGCGAAATTAACTATGAGAGAATGAAAAAAACGGGCGCCGCCGGCGCCCACCACTCAAAATTCTCACTTTCAAGCAGCATTACTCAACACACTTTGCTAGATAATATATATGTTAGAATTATTCAATCATCATGAAACTGAATTCTCTTTAAGATGAATGTATTTTTGGGGTGTTCTAAGAAAATTTTGTTAAGGTACAAAGCTATACCTTTATTTGTTTTATAAATTCAAGATATGTACGTCGTTAAAATTCTTAGAATTAATTTGAAAACAAAATTAGAAAGGTCAAAATAAACATAAATTTTATCTAATTACAATCTTTGAAAGCTGAAGATTATATAAATGTATTTTGTTTATATTTGTGTCATATAATATTGTTGTTTAGTTATTTACATTTGAAAAGTTAGTCATGTGATCAGCGACAAATTGCACTGGGTAAATTACCCTTTTCGGATATCGGCGAAGTGAAAATACTACATCGGGAAATCTTGTCAGCTTTTGCAAACGAATGGCTGATTTTTTGGCGCCGACAAGGTAAAATTGAAAAATGTACTTCTTTATTATAACTCGATTTAAGCAAATGAAATAGAGAACAGTGAATCTATATTTAATCGTAACGAAAAAAACACCAACATGTGTTTCTTACCATTGTTCTGAAAAACTGCAAAGTTTTAGTCTGAATCACATGACCCGGATCACGTGATACCTTCTTAAAAGCCAGGGTAAATAACGCGTTGAAAAATTCCTCCGTACCTTGGGAATGCTCAACCTTCAAACTTCACGAACACTTCTTCTTTCCTTAAATTATTCCTTCACATAACGAATGAATCCGTTAACAAATCACATTTTTTCATTCCATTGGAACTCATTCTATTCTAGATATCATACCCAAAACTATAAATGAAAAAATAGAGCATTTGTGTGTGTCTTCCAAGGATCAACTACTTTTTTACCTATGAAGAGCTCTGAAATTAAGGGTTTAATAGAACCGTGCAGCTACTACAATCAAGAAATCAAAATGCACGTTTCAATCAATTTGGTATCGCATATATATTAAAGAGGCCCAATTTATTTCCTTGATCCTGAAAACATTGCTTGATCCTCAAAACCCATCCAAAACCGCCCAAAATTCGCGGAAACCAGGCAAAATCCGATCAATGGCGTTGAAAAATCCATCCAAGGGTCCAGGAAAACCCCTGTTTTTGAAAATTCCGGATCAGTTTTGACTGTAAATGGTTATTTTAAAGGTGGTTTCCATATAAAAATTTAGAGAATTTTACAGTTTAGGTGTCAGATTTGGCAGAAGTGAAGTTGTTGAGATTGGAATAAGCAGAATATGGTGGTGTGGTGATACATGGGTGGATTGTGAATCCGATAAAATGAACACTACAGCTCGTCAGAGGAACTCCCATGTTCAAAGGGGTACTGCTTTGGAAAGTAGATGTGGAAATACAACGTTGACGCTTGTAATGGTGGTCGTAGTGTTACTTTTTTGGATGTTGAGCCCTAATATAAGTTTATGTTTTTGATCATTCCGTTTCACTGTAGGAGTTATTGATTGATTATTGTATATTCTTTATAATACTTTAAACTTCAGTGTGAAATGCGTTTGTAAATCCCACGTCCATCTACTTTTCAATCACCTGCAGCATTTCAGTAGTACATAAAATTTCTTCTTTCTGATCAGGAGTTTATTCCATCGAAGGTGGTTTTGCATGATAGCACTCTTAGTCATCCAGAAAACGCCCTGTTTCAATGCCCTTCTCGGTGTTCAGCTAGCATGTGTAATACACAAGTCCTATCCCCTATTATGTGAAGCTATAAGGAGAAATCCATCATAATCCTCATAGTCAAATCTCCGAACTAACTTATCATACATTTTTGCCCCCAAATTGGCCTCAGAATTAGTGACACGTAATCTGCCAAAATGGTTTTTTTTTGAAATCTCCATAGTTAGGAGAACATGAAAATTTCAGAGCACATCGTTTTTGACAATAATTTTTTCTTTTACATGCTACCTAACGAAACCACGTTCAAATAGTACAACTATCTATTTTTTGAAGCTGCAGTAGAGTTTAGCAGGCTAGTTTTTCTTAAATCATGCTCTTTTCCAGTGGGAGTACAAACGCAGAGAAAAGTTCGTTGTCTTAAACTTTGGGTGCAGGTTATGTTTCAGAACAGCCTCACCGAATAGCAGATCTTAATATGATGGCTCATAACAACTGCAAGCTGCGAGCTGTATATTTCCTAGGAAGTGAGTGTGTTCAAACTAGCAAGTCTGCCTCAATAAGTTTCAGACTGTATGACTTCAAAACCTTCTAAACAATATCACATTCATTAATTACAGAGGTCGAGGCTTCATCTGAATGCAATTGATATTATACTCTCTGGTAGTACTTAAGTCCTAGTTGTTAATCTTTATAATAAAATTGGTGTATATTAATTATATTTTAAGTTCAGAATTAGCTTAAAAACTGATATAGCAGGTCGAATTGATCGAGCATATCACGCTACCAACTTGTTATAAGCTGCTGATGACGTCGTTTATAAGCAGCTAATTCATTCGCCCTATATAATATTAATGATCATCAGTACGTCGTTCTCAGTAAATTCGAACATGTATACGTCTATTTGTTTTAACTTTTAGTGTATTTGACATGAACTAATTATAATAATTGGATGAGGAATGCAATTACGCCGTCTATAAGTTTCGTCAAAGAGGATAAGAAAAATGCAATAATTGGTCGACGTTAATTAAAATTGATATTAAAAAGCCGATGATCGTTGACATATAGCTAGTACGTCTATAAACTAACTATATTAGGCGCTTAATTATATTAATAGATTCATATTGATCAGTTATAATTAATCATCAATATTAATATTTGCACATTAACATCCGAAAGAAAAAAACACATGTTGATGAAGTCTAGTCATGATCAATTATAATTATAATATTATTATAATAACAGTTATAGAATAATTATATAATATATATATAGTCCAAACATTCTCTCGAAATATAATTTAGCTGACAATGATACTGATGTACCGATTTACAGCTGTGATGTCTACTACAACAATATTGGGATTGCTGTAGTGATATTAAAATTAAATCGCTGTAATTGAAGTAAAGATATAGAGAAGCTTAATTAGCGCATGTATATTTGTACATCCAGTTGAATAATAATGACATAATAGATTTAGACGCCTATTATTGATAACTACATTTGTAATCATCTTGGTCTTTTGAATGTGAAGAATCTCAATATGACAGACATGTGGCTTTCAATCGCCATGAACCCCTAAACAAACG